CCTTTTGTTAAATGAAAAAATAAAATAAAATAAACTACAAATTCTGCACCTATTAAATAAGAACTCTAACCTTTGAAATTGATGGGAACATAATAAAGGTACGTGTATAGAACGTGATTACTGCCAAAATGACGATCGACAATAGTAATGTATAATACTTGTGTAATAAGTGTTAATTCATTTAATGAACATATTAAGTCATAGTACGCTGAGATGTAATCTTGATAACAACTTAAGTGTCAGCAAGTGGAGATTGCCCACATTATTACAATACGAGGAATTCCGTACTAAAACAATTTTGTTATAATTAGCAAAAAGCCGGAAACACGAATTAATGTACCATAAATTCCGGCAATGGGCGGTTTTCGCCGATTGCAAAATAGGCGAACGAGTCTCTCCGAACCTTTCCGATGATATTTGTGGTTTTGACGGGTTTGGTGTCTGAAAGAAGCAAGCCGTGGGAGGCGTTTTAGTGGCCTTTTCCGAGCCAGAAAGCTATCTCAAAACAGTCTTTGATGATTAAGAAAGTGAACTGCAATTGTACTTAATAAATAGTTGTTCACTTCTTTGTAGCACAGTCAAAGAATCAATCAGTCAATATATAAATAAATAAATAAATAAATAAATAAATAAATAAATAAATAGTTCAACGCTCGGTAGCCTTGGACCGGTCGTCCTCTCACCTCTGGAATACATTTCGTAAATCTAAATCAGTCGATCCGGACAAAGAGGTCACGGTTGGTGGGTTAGTACAAACGCCTACTTTTGAATCTCTGTAGAAGAAAACCCAAAACAAAACAAACAACACAAAAAACGTTCAAGACAGCCCGCAATTGGGGGGTACTGTCCAATTACCTGTGGGCATTACACTGTCCTTTTTACGCTGAGATCAGGAGTAAGTCATTGATTCACAGCACTATATCAGTTTTATCATTTTTTTGTTAATGGACATAAAAGGCTTTTGGGCATGCAAAAGTGCGGTTTAAAACTATGATAACTGGATGTGGGGTTCATTTCAATAATTTTTGACCAGTATAATCGTAATGTGCATGTATACAGGTATCATAGATTATAATTGCGCAAAACCTGGATTCACGCTCGGTCAGAGGTACACTAGATTAATTACATTCCGACGATGGGCGGATTTTGAAGATACTGAAGGTTACAAAATAGGAATTTTTCCGAACCTTTCCGACTATTACAGTTGTGTGGTCCAGTCGTTGATTTAGGCTGTGGACGGACATGAAAATGATAATCGTGAGAGAAATTCTTCAACCGACTTGTCCAACCTCATTTATTTACTTACTGTTATTGAATTCCGATGATAGGCGACTGCATTCGACTGCGAAATATACGAAATACGAGTCTTTCCGAAACTTAACGATTATTACGTTAATGTGTGGTTTGTCTGAGAAGTCCATAAATTGAAACTATCCCCACTATCCGGTGGTGTTGGATGGTTTAGTTTTCATTAACCCTTGAAAAATATGACCAAAGGCAAATTCGACAAAAATCCCAAATTTCATTTTGTAAAATTTTTTAAAACAAATAACACCACATGAAAGTACTCCCAAAGAGATTTCATTTGAATGGTCGCACCATAGGATTTTGTCCACAGACGTAAAAGTTAGAACCACCTCACAAACTCCATCATCCACTCTGGCAGTGAAAGGGCTAAAATCTTAACTAAGGCTATAAATGTTCACACCATACAAGCTAAGATAGCTTTTGCGCCAGCACGAAAACCATACCGTAGGGCTTCTGTTGACACATAACAAATAGAGCGGCCGGTGATATTGGCGCGATTTCTGAAACAGTCAGCGAAGCTTTGCCGCGCCGACATATGCTCCAAAGTGGAGCTTTTCGTACCCAGCGTAGTGTGAACATAACCTACGGAATACAAACTCTTCAGTTTAAGACAATCAAGTTGGCCAGTAGTAGACTTTAGCTGCCAAAAAGACCATTGTTTTTGAGAAAACAGCTTAGTTAATAACGTAACTTTCTTTCAGAGCTTTTAGCGAGATAAATGTGACGAGAAAATAGTACCAAATCAGCTCAGCTTTAACGGCGATCAAAAATGCACTGATTGTTTTCAATACTTTTTTTGACTTTGCAACTGACGCTGCAAAGGATTTCATGATTTTACTGCATGGCATTGACATATTGTAGCCAATAGAAATCTTAAACAAAAAAATGAAACTTAAACGCAACATTCCGCCTGTTCAACAATAATGACATGCTCGAAAAACACGGCTACCCGGCAAACTGAGGGAAAAAAAAATGCCAATATATGTAAAAATGCAAGAGGTTTTTACCCTTTGCTGCAGACTGGCAGTAAATCTCAGAACTAAAATAAATAACGACAACTTGTTATCATATTAACTGGCTATTACGTATTTCACAAAAACGTTTAAATTGAATCGTGATAAGGAACTTTAAAATCTCTAACCTTTTGGCCACTTTTGGCTTTCATTAATTGGATCATACATGGATGTGTAGATACCTTACGACTTTTAATTTGTGTCCTTGAATAAAGAAAAAAAAATAAAAGGAGATGACAGTTTTGAACTTTACCCAACACTATCATATTCCTCATTGTCTCTTAGTGTACAAAAGACGAAAGTCTTTGTCTGAACTTCGATTCCATGGTGACTGATTCCTTGTTGCATCACAATGCTCAAAACGTTTTGGGAGATTTTAAAATTAGTGAAATACACCCTTCCACTTTATGAAACAATCCTTTTAGCTTTAATTTTAAAATGAATCAGACGGCTATCACAATTTGAAAATATATTTGTTTTAATATATTTGGTATATCATGATGGGAAACTTCTGCGGAGACGGGGTGGTCTTTCTCGTCTGAAAAAAAAAAGAATAAAATAAATAAAAGTGCCTATTCTGTTCAATAAATCCACAGTTAGCTGCTTTTTCGGGGACCACGGTAAAACACACACCTGATACAAACACAAGTTGAGTCATTTATACGAGAATTTTTTTTCAAAAGATTAAAAGATTAGTTTAGATCGTATTTTGTTTATTTTCGTACATTCTCTTATAAAATTGTTATGTAGTATTATTACTTGTATTCTGGGTAGAACGTATTTCGTAGCGCGCTCAATTCATTTAATTGAAGAGCATTGACTATTAATAATCACAGGAGTTCAGGCTTCAGAAGTAATCATTGATCGTTTATTGCGACAGTGCTGTTTCGTATGGTCCTAAATTGTAGGACCACACTCATCAGGCAACTTCAACTTCAATCGTTGAAGTTGCCTGATGAGTGTGAATTTCACTCAGGAATTGTATAAAAATACAGTATTAAATTGGCAATGATAAGTCAGTACAGTTTGTTAAATAAACCGAGTTATATCTCAGTTACAGTTAATTTAAAACGATCTTAATTTTTGGAGAAAGTCAGATCAGCATTTACCAACCGATTATAGATAGCTTCATCAAAACTCCTTCTCCCATAATTATTATGAAACTTGTTTGGGGTGATTTCCATGTGGCCTTAATTTGTCCATGCAAACAAGACTTCCGAGGAATAAGGGGGATAGTTACGTTTAATAACTGAACGATAAAAAGGTGCAATGCTGATCGCCAGCTTCCTAATTTGGTCTAAAACTGTCTAGACTGCGAGCAGTGTCTTATTTTCCTTTGCAAAGTTACTGCACACGAAACCCAAGCAAGCGAGCGGCGAAAAGCAAGGGCGTAAGCCAGAGAAGAAAACTGAGTAAGAGACCGTCTTTTCTCGTCTCGTCCCAATCCCTTATAGAACGTCGTGGTTTGCAATCTCGTTGGCTGAGATAAGAACTAGACGGATTTTAAGAGAAAAGGCGGCTGCAAGCAGTCTAAAAACTGTCTACAACTAATCTAAATTTATTATAACTTTGTAACCGTCACAAGAATTCCATGCACTTGCTTTCGAGGGGAACAAGATCTGGTTTCGAGTCTACAAGAGCCCCGTGAATGAAGATCCGGCTGCAAACCGTCAACTTTAGATAGGGCTTTCCACAAGTTGCTTGCTTGGCAACTTTTTGGCAACTTCTCGTATTTCGAGCAGCTGTTTGAATTCTGAGCAATTTCTCTAGTTATCTTCTAATTCTGAGATATTGGAGCAGCTTTAGTGCTTAAATTGGCCATGGCCTTTCTTCCATGTTTCACAACGTTTTAGTAGACAATTCATGAATTTCCTGTAAAACACGGAGCCAAATCCCCCCCGCCCCCGGCAGATAATGGGCGCAAGATAAAAGTAGCCGCGTTGCTATAGGTCAGCGATTTTAAGGAAAATTCAAAATGGGGGACGAAGATTAGACTGACTCAGGACTGACTCGAGTGTATCTGGTGAAGAAGGTCATTGAACAATTTTGTTGGTTCATTTCAGTTTTTGTTTTTTTTAATTGAGGACATTAGCATTGTTGGTTACTTCGCAAAATTGCACGAAAATACTTAGAAATCGTACTTTTGTCGGTACAATTTGCATGTTTTAGCATCAGACCAAAAAAACTTTTCGTTTTTTCGAGCACCTTTTGAGCAACTTTCGTTACAAAAAGCAACTGTTGATTGATTTTTAAGCTACAATTAAGCAACTTTTTGAGAAATTACTAGAAACGTTTTCAAAAATCTCGAGCTAATCGTGAAAAAAAAAAAGAAATGGACAAGCGAAGTCTAAGGACAAAGCTGAAACAACTGGCGTTGAAACAATATTTCGGCTAGCCAGACTAGTCTTCTTCAGTTAGATGGAATTTAACGAAAGGAATGGTGTGAACAACATTTGCCTGCGCCTGGTGTTGTCGTTTCGACGAATTTTTTGTATCGCGTTTTTTCGGAGGATCAAGCTACGCGCGAGTAATTTCGCGACACGCGAGAAGTTTTTGTGCGGTCTCCCATCATGCCTTTGGAATGTGAATTTCATCATGGCGGAAAATTTCCACAATTTATGGGGTTTACGTGTTTGGCAGATGACGGCATGAGTTAGACTCGACAAAAGAAACTTTGCTATGTCTGGAAACGAAGGAATAACGCTCCAGTCTGTCCGGGAATTTTTAGTCAAGAACAATGGCAAAGTAAAGAACATAGACCTTGTGCATCACTTTAGACAACAGCTCAATGATCCTGCCAACAAGAGTGAGTACAAGTTCGCCGAGCTGAAGATGGATTATTTTTATAATCGGTGGCTTTGTTTTTACTGATTAAATATGACTTCCTGCAGGCAAAGTACGAGGTGAATTCAAAGAAATTGTGCACACAATTGCTACTGTCCAAACAATAGATGTAAGTAAACTTTCCCTGATTTTATACTCAAACTTTTCTGATAGTAAGCTTATTATCGTAATTTCCGCCGATTGACTCGGGAAGAGAAACATTCCATTTGAAATACACGTAGCCGTCTTTCTGAGTGATCGTTATTAAAGTGATCATTCATGCTGCGACATATTGCTGTTGTATTCAACGATGTAAGCAGATATAGAATGAATTTTATTTTAAGGCAATACTATTAGGCAAGTTTTGACGAGGGGCTGGTATTCTTCAAATTAGATAGAGCTCAAATTATCGAGGTTTCTTTTTCTTTTTAGTCTTGTTCAAATTAAGAATCAAAACAATGATTTTAGGTACATTTATCTTTTAGTATTATTTTTTGAAAGGCTTATTCTCTGTACATTCCTATACCTACCATCTTTGTTAACACAAATCACATATTTTGACTTTCCAAACTCAGTGGAGCAACAATACGCTATAATGAAAGAAATAACATATTACAGTGTATAATGTGAGGTATTGTGTTATAAAGGTGTCAAGACTGTGGGATAATGGTGAAGAACTGCCCCCCACAAAACCAGTTAGAGGCAGGGGAGAGGGGGGAGGGGGGAGGGTGTATGTGTCCCTAGTGTGACTTTTAAAATTGTCGTTTTGCACATTGAGGAGGAAGCCATGTTGCTGTTAGTATTTTACTATTCTATTTGTGCTTTTCTCTGTCGCTGTTGTAGTTTCAACCCATCTTTGTGTCATTTGACGCCTTTTTTTCTGCCCTGTATTGCTGTTTCAAGGCCATGTTGCTTGTCGGAATTAACCCCAACAAGGCCTCATTAGATGACTGTCAATCAACTATTGACCAACAGTTGATTGACAGTTACAATAAAATAATTATTTGGGGAAGGTAGCTTGATTGAGTACTTGTAGTAACAAACTACATAAATAAGGGTTGAATTCTTTAATCATTTCATTTTGCGGAAAAAAAATGCCGATCAACTTCTCTGAGCCAATGGAGAGGATGCTTCTGTCGTGTGTGGTGTTTATTGAAAGCTCTATGGGTGTCAAAAAGTTTTACGTTATAGAATTATTATTGTGTACACTGCATTTCATTGCATTCTAAGTGTCTTATGGCAATTATGTTCTCTGTAGGGTGAAAAATACTTTGTTCTTAAGAAACCCAAAGAGGCCCCGGCAGTGCTTCGGAAACCTCCAAGACCTACAAAGCACAAGGATCGACCTGTTTCTCTTCCTCCTGTTTTCCGTGGAGCAAAGCTGGAGGAAGTGCCCCAAGGGAATTCTGCAGTTTTTGGTAGAACCTATTCTGAAGATTCAGAATCACCCAGTCTCGTTCACGCAAACAAAGAAAACAGACCTGTTGATAGAGGAGATGGAAGAGATGGAAATAATGGATCTGGTGATAGTGGCCTTGAATCTGATGTAAGTCTGACTGGTAAAATGAGTACAGGTGTAACTGCAAAGTGAATTTAAGGTGATACAGTGATACCTTGTTCTTGGGGTGGAGGATTAGGGTGAGAGGGTGCCTGTTGTCTTTCTTTGTGGTATGAATTGCAGATGGTCTTATAGGGTGTTGTGGTTGGAAAGCCAAGATTTTACAGGATTCTCATTATTACAGTGTAAGTCCTGCAACCGGCTACATGTAAAAAACTGGCTACAGTACTTTGAAATGTGGGAAGTGTACATTACTTTTTAGGAAAAAGGGGTAAAGTGAGGCAGGAAAGCCTGAAATTGCCTATGTACTGTAAGTACTTGATTGCCTAGCTGCCTTTTGTACATCCTAGCCAGCTACTTAAAACCTGAATGAAAACCCTGATTGTTGCCTAATTTTTTATTGTCTCACACTTGTAGGGTTGTAAAATAATTTGCAAATATCTATTACACTGTACATATACATGAAAGAACAAACAAACAAACAAATGCCATCATACTATGTAGCTGTATGGTTGTCTTGAAGGGTCAAATAAAGCCTGAGTCATGCTCAGATTGGTCAACTTTAGGGGTTTGATTCTAATTTTCTGATGAGCATCCTTGTCTCTTTCATTCTGGGAGTTCCAGCCATGTAAGTCGGGATTATGGACATTACATTGTACTTTTTGGAGATGAAAAGGGTGCTAGTAGTATACTTTGATTCTTATACAAAACTGTCCACAAAAACCGGCAGCCTGTACACTGTAGTCTCTCTTACTCTGTGTGTCAAAGCTTAGACGGGGACGTTTGTTCTCCATTTCTCAGTGTTTGTTTTTTAGTTGTACCTTTTAAACTGTCTAGGGAATCTTGTATTCTCTTTTAAGCCTTTCTAAGATTATTAATATTTAGTATTTTACTGATTTTGTAAACTGGAACTTGATTAAATTTAAAGTTAAAGATAGGGAGTCACAAAATTATTCTTTACATATTTTTTTTAGTCCAGCAGTTCAGTTGGAAGTTTTACAGCATCAGAGAAATCCACCATTCAGATGCTGCAAAAAAAATTTTTAAACGCTGACAGGGGATCTTCCAATGGGCAGCCTGATAACAGGGTTTCCAAAAGCAATGATGATTTGGTGAGTAAACGTAGAGGCTAGAAGGAATTAAGTCACGATATGGAAGGAACTAAAACCATTAGGGCGAGTTACTAGTAGCTTTCCCATTTTTGAAACCAGAAACCAACATATATTCTAGAACCTTTGAGAATGTCCTAATTTAACTCAAGATACTGCATTAATATTGTAATTATTGTAATGATAATTTATTAGGCTAAATTGTAAATTATCATTTACCAGCAGGCTAACCTGGAAAAATTAAAAATTTCAATTTTTTACATACGTATTCAAGGGCGGATTAAATTTTACTGCAATAAAATTTGACTATTGATAATAATGTTTAATTTTTTTTGTTCAGGATCGAATGGATGAAGACATGGAAGGTAGGTTAATGTACACAGCTGTTAGATTTGAACTTATAGTTTAAAACATGCACTTGACTGAACTTGTACCCTGTACCTTACAGTTATACAGTAATTGGTGCTATTAATTTTTGTAGAGAAGATGTGGGCACCTTCAGTGATTTTGTTACCTCTGTGTCTTGTGTCCCTGATACATAAAAATCCCCGAAGATGCAAAATAATTCATGGCATGCATCCCATAGGATGCAAAGAGTGATCGATCGATTTGAAGATTTTTTGGTTTAAAGATGCATATTTATTTTAGTCTTTTTTGTGCTTTAAATATATAGAAGGACTGCATTTTTAATTTCAGTGACCTGTAATAAAGAGTGTTGGAGTCTGTCTCCAGATTATCTGTCTGGGTACATAAAGGCCCAAGCATTTTCAATTTTGGACTTGTCATTTTTTGAACTGAGACTCAATGATTTTTCACAAGATGAGTCCCAGGACTCACCATAACTATTTACTCACTGCACCTACATAGGAATCTGATGGGAGACTTGCTTACAGTTTGCTTAAGACAGAGGTCATAATTCTGGAAAAAGTTTATGTGCAAACTAGTTTTCCTGACCTGAAAAAAGTCCGGAAAATACATGTAAGGATTAAGTCTCGAAATATGGTAAAAAAAAGTTTGGAGTTTTTGTTTACTATTACATGTACTATCTTTATTTTACCATGGTGTCACTTCACAACGTTGGTCCTCCCGTGAGCCATACGTTTGAAAAAAAAAATTACATGAGTTTTTAAAATAATTATTATGATAATTATTATAGGAAATTTAAAATGACATCAATAGAAAATTACAATGTTTTGCATAAATTTAAAGAACAAAGAGTTACAATAAACTTAATTACATAATAATAATGTTACACAGCTGTATTTATGCACTAAAAATAATTCATGCTCTTTGCGAAGTCATGTAATTATTATATGACTTCGCGAAGAGCATTGTCTCTGAAGAATGATTTAAAAAGGTCTTAGCTTTCCTGTTCTCTTTCTTCTATAGGGAGTTTGTTCCAGAGGACTGATCCTCTGTAGGCTATATTTCCCTATGTCCAACTTGGGTTTTAGGGAATATTCAAGTTAACTGATTAATATTTTTCTCAAATACGGTGGGGAAATTTCATGAGTTATTTTGTACATTAGAATTAGTGAGTTGTCTCATCTTTCTGTCTTCTAGTACTTCCCAACCCAGTTCATCCAATAAATTTTTAGATAGTGTTTCATAATTTGAAAATTAGTCACCATTCTAGCAGCTCTATTTTGGAGTAGCTGAAGTTTTTCTGATAATCCTTTCCCTATATAGTGTATATGTTGTAGTTAATTGTTGTATGTTAATGTATGCTAATGAAGTTTGAACAAAAGAAAAATAAAAATTACCTGAGATAAAAAATTAACGACAACATATATATCCACACACACAGCTGGAGTAATCAAAATAGGGCACAATAAGAGCTTGGTACACACATGGTTTCTCTAGTTTTGTATGGTATATGATTACACACCTTACATGTACATTGTAGACCCAACAAGCCTGCTGATCAATATCTTCTTTGAAATCGTATCAATGTAAAATATGTGTTTTCCATGAGATATTTTCATCAATTGAGACTCTGAGAGATTTATAAACATTCGCCCTCTCTATGGGTATGTTATTAACCTTAACCTTAAAATTATCTGACAGTAGTTCAAGTCTGGGATGACTGTCTATATAACATGTATTTGGTCTTTTTGAAATTTAAAGTAAGCTTATTGACCTTAAGCCATGTCTGAATTTTGTTCAGATCAGAATTTGTTTTAACTTGTTAAGTACAGGTTGTATCAGCATCTTCAGCTGTTGATGTTAAAGTGTTGTTGTTCGCATACATTCTGGGCCTTGAGAACAGTTGACTTAAGAGAAAGTCATTTATGTATAAAATAAACAACAGTGGACCAAGAATAGATCCTTGAGGAATTCCACATGTTAATGTACAGAAATTAGAAACTTCACCGTCAACTAATAATAATAAAGTTTTCTATTTTTGCTGAGTAAGATATAATTGAAACCATGCTACATGTACATCTGGGACTAACTCCATAAAATTCAATGCAAGTTTATTGAGGAGGATAGAATGTTCCATGGTGTCATTCAATGGCTTTTTTGTAGAAAAGAATATTACTTCATTTTTTTTCTCAATCTTATTATATATTATTAAATATATTATTATTAATATTAGTTAAGTTTTTGAAACAAGCTTTTTTCCTTTTGGCAATGTTTTATGGTGATTTGTGATGCACCATTATGATACAGTTCTACATTGTACAAGTATGTAAGAGATTTTGTACTGTTTAGTTTGAAATTGATATATTAAACTAATTATTATCATTGTTTATGTTACAATTATGTAATGTATTAAAATTTGTACTTCTAACTAAAGACTGATTAGGATTTAAAATAGATTACAGTGTATATTACGTGCCAGTTCAAACCAATGAATTAAAACAGTGGCTTGTGAGATTAATGAATTAATAGATATTAGACTGTAATATTATTAAGTGACTTCTTTTTCAATGCTTGAATTCGCCTGAAAATAAAGGATATGGATTGTCAAGCTAGTTAGCACAGGCCAGGTTGTACCTGTCACAGTAATTTTAATATGGTGAGTGTTCATGGGTACCCCCTTCCTCCAAAACCAGCTGCTGACTTTAAAATGATTTATAGAAAAATACAAATTTTATCATGAATGTTGTAATTTAAAAATTTAAAGTGCTCAAATGAATGTGACTGAAATTGATGAAAAAATATTCTTGTTATACCTGTGTATGTCCATTGTGTATGGTTGTGTCATTCTTGTAGTGTTTGCATTTTTGCTTACTACAGGCATCACTTAGTCACAACGTCTTGCTATTAAATAAATGTTGTTGTGCTAATATATGTTTTTTTATTTTTGTCCAAGATACATGTATTTCAAGAAAAAAACAAATCCGAAACTTTTTTTAAAAATTTGTTTTTCATACATTGTGCATCAGTGTGTTTGTGAGGAAGTCGGTCGAAGTTTTCATCTTGAATTAAAAGTTTGAACTCTTTTTTTATTTTGTACTAAATAAATGTTTGACAATGTAGGAGATTTACCTAGAATGCTTAAAATCATATCACTCAAAGCACTTAATTAAAAAGAAGATGCATGTACATACTTAACAAACCATGTTGCTTTTCTAACTGCTTTTTTGGCTTATGAATGAAACAAAATCTTTTCTGATTTAAATGCTTTGTCTCAGTAGTTACATACATGTAGCTACATGTATAGGTTAAGTCAGTTTATTTTTGATCTGTAAGCATGCTTACATGTACTCTTCATCAAATATTTATCATTTGCCACCTGCTTGTCTGATGCTATAAGTGGGCTGAGTTTTCAAAACAAAAATATGAGGCTACTGAAAGAGTTTTTAATGCATTCAGAGCAAGTTCAGGTGTAAACCACCAGGATTTTATGTTAAATTTTGCAGTCAAAGCAGGGGACAGGGCTAAAGAAAAAATCTGTATTACCTACTGTAAGGATAGGTTTTTGTCTTTGTTCAGTTATGTTTGTTCATGCATGGCCAGACAAAGGAGGGTCCGAAAAAGTGAGTCTTTCAACTGCTTATAAAATGACTTTGACATATATAATTTGTAATTTATTTTACAGGGTGTTTGCATGTAATTCTGAACGAAACATTTTATAGCATTTTACATAAGGATGCCTGCCTGTCAAATTGCCACATTCTGCAATTATTTTTACTAGTGTATACATGTATTGATTGTACCAGGACTACTTGTACATGTCTCATGGTTTTAAAATTTAAAAGCATGTCTGCAAATATTGATATCTCTGTTAATATGAAGAGTGAAAGAAATGTAAACATTAATTTAAGTTTTAAAAAAGGATATTCTTTTGTAATGAAAAGCTTGTTATTGATTCGTTAAGATTATAATAACATTTTTATTTTATGAAGTGGTCTTATGTTTTTTCCCTAATGTATTGTACATATAGTTTTTCACAGAAAATTAAGCCAAGTGCATTTTTTCAATTTGTATTTGTGTCAGTTGTATTGAACTGTTAGGGGAAGTCACTAAGGCTTTGAAATTTAGGGGTTACCGTATGGCTAGGTACACTGTAGGTACAATCTACAGTATGTGAGAAAAAAATTGTAATTATAGTCACTCTATCATCAAAAAGTGTTTTATAACAATGACAACAAATTTGGTGCTTTTAGACCTACGTTAATTTATTCTTTAGACAATTCAGACAGTTTGTATTATTTTCCATTTTTTGTTTAGTGCTCAGGAACTCATGAAGATGTGAAATTTAAATTCCCAAACACGGGAAATAATTTGTAATTACTTCAAGCACTATGCATTTTTGTATTTATTAATTAAAAGTAGTAAATGTATTATTAATTTAAGATGACTTTTATATTGCATAGACAGTCAATATGAATAACTTTAAATATTTATATTTCAGGGCAATATTTATCTCTTTGTTACATTTAATTTAAGTTTCTCTGTCATGTGTTTAATTAGCAAAAATAAAGGAATAAACAGTATAACAAGAACATAGAAATTATGTTCTTGGTAAAGGGTGTTATATTATTTCAAATGTATTTTCATTTACAATGTTTTCAACCTTCATTACAGCTTTAGAGTGTGAAAAACATTTTTTTGTTGTAGATTTGATGCTTTCTAATTAGAGTGGTTTTCGTTTGAGTGTCGTAAAACCAAAACCAAAGTAATTACTCTGGCCAATCACATAGGACACAGACAATACATTGAACCAATCAAAACTCGAAGTAATTACATGTGGCTGACGCAAAGATCACAATTGGCTTTGGTTTTACTTCTGATTGGATGAAAAGGTGGCGCGAATCTTTTAAGCCAATCGCATCGTGTAGAAAGTGCAAAACCAATTACTTTTCGACACTCAAATGAAAACCGCTCTAATAATGACATTACTGTTATTACTTTTCTTTGAGCCTTAAACAGAGACAACAACTTCTTTAACTAACGCTTAAACTGTTAGCAAAGTGCTGACTTCCCGTTTGGGGTGTGTTACAGACGCTATAGCTATCTCTCTATGGTGTCTTAAAGCTCCAATATCCACATACAAATTCTCCCAACTGATCTCAATACTTTTCCTTAGAATATTTTCCTAATAATTTTCCTTAGAGAATTTGCTAACAGATCAGAGCACGATGTTATCTTTGATGACCAGTTTATTAATTCTCATAACCTTTACCCTTGATTATGTATTGTCATTGTTAGGAGAAACCTGATGCTGGTCACTCTTGGGACAAAGATAGTTGATAGACATTAATTTCAGGTTGCTGTAGATTTTTAGAGGAATTGTTTTTCCATTTTAGCAAGATTATTTAATTTTTTTTGCCCCTAGGGGATGACTTGTTGATGGGAGGACCAACAGCTCATGTAAGTTTGAATTACCGAAGAAAAAAACAAAACACAATAGCTAGCACATGTAGTATGTACTTAAGAAATCAACAACAGTTTTCCATGCTCTGTACTGTAATCAACCATAGAAATGACGTCATAATTTTCAAAACTCAAGTGGAACCATTTTGGCATCATTTCTATGGTCGACAAGAGTACAGACCATGGAACATTTTTGTTGATTTGTGTTTTACAATAACATCAGAGGTTTTGACATCCATTTCTGTTGAAGATTTTTGGCAAGTTGTTTGACGCGCGAGAAAGAGAAAAGCAAATTGTGCCACCATCATGTTATTTCGATGGTCTGTACTCTTATCAAAGGTATCTTTCCACCAATCAATGTGTAAGAAATTGGTCAGTTATTGTAAAAAGTCGCTCAGAAATGTTTATCATTATTTTTTCTTGTGCATATTGTAGCTAGAGCCATTAGAAAAAGAGTGGTTCATAACGGCAGCAAGAGGAAACAGAGCTCAGATCATGTGTTTACTTGAGCAGGACCGTAACCTGGCAACTAAAAAGGTTAGTTTCCGTTAACATAGTTTGTTCAAATCACAAGACATTGAGAGACACAGTCATTATTAGAACATCTTCAGCTGCAAACACTGCGGGCAAATTTTTAACCTCCTTCAGTGTGTCTATTTTAGACCTTGTAAGGTCTTTGTTGGGACTTATTTTAAGGGCAAGGGTGGAAGTCCCTTTAGTGTAAAAAAAAGAAGCCTTTAGTCTTTAGTGTAAAGCTAATTTTCTGAACTCGCTTCAGAAAAAGTTAGTAATAAACAAGTTGTTTGAAGTAATGAGAACAGCTTGATTACCAAGTGTATTAAATAATTATTATGTTATTATGTTTTAACAGTTTATATAATATATCAATATATAACAGCATACTACGAAGAAATAATTATGCAGTTAGCCATTAGGTACTTCTCAAAGTGACAAGTTTGTAAACAAAACAGCATGAGATTGATGACATGATTTGTTGTTACCAGTGAACTTATCTTTCAAGGAGGGGGTCAGGGTGACTAGATTATTTAAATTTTACACCAATGGTCACACAGCACAGCCACAATGCAGCTAGACTCCTTAACTTGCCATTAATTGTTGTTTTTGCTTTATTTATGATTCCAGGATTTTATGCTGGTAGGTACATTAACTTGCCTCTGTAATTCTCTTACAATGTATGACTTGATTAAGGGTAGACAAATGTTTTATCAGAATACTAAAAATTATTGACTGAGGCTTGTTGAAAATAATAAATTAAAACAACTAAGAAACAAAATGTAATGCTACACCTGTAAGCGTGAAGCTACATCTAAGATCAATTATTTTCATTTGTATCACTTTTATCTATAAGTATTTTGCTGGTGATTTCTAACTTGCTGAATAATCAGATGTTGATGCATGCTTTGTAAAAATTTATAAAAGTGTTTACTAACTATTTTTCTTCTCTGTGTTTCCTTTGTTGACCATTCCTGATGCAGGGGGTAAGTTCTTTCGTCTATTTTATTTATTTATTTTTTTGCCATCTTGAGTAAAATTGTGATTTAAGATATTACTTTGACTTACTCCAGGTGTACACTGTACACCTTTTTATATTTTTTATACTGAGGTTTACATGTTAATTAGGATTAAATCACTAACGTTTTTCTTATTTCTTTTTGCCCACTCCTGCCGTGATTTTCTTCTGCTTCTTCACGTAACTAAAAATTTAGTATGTAAGTATAACCAACTGTACTACTGCACTTGATTCTTGTATATAACGGAACAAGTATTAGGATAATTGCATGACTCAGGTTTTGCACTCTAAACCTGTCAACTCTGTAAATAGAATAAGTGATCATAACCTTGGATTGGCACTGGACATTCTTATAAACAACTCAGTCCAGGGCTAGGTTATTCCGAGCTGGTTGAGAAAACCCAGGGTTAGTGCAAAATTGAATTCAGATATTAATGTTTACAAAGCAAATTCCTATAAATGTTTTAGCTTACAATTTTGATGTTTTGATGCTGTTAAACAATCTCATTTAAAATTAACTCACGACATGCCTTTGAACAATATAGACAGGAACTTGGATAAAAATTTAAACCCTCCTTAAGAGATACACTGTAATCAGTCTTCCAAAAAAACTGGGATCAGGACGTAACAATGGTCATGGTAACTAGTTCTGGAGGTGCACCAATTGTTGCTATCTGAGCAACTTTGCTTAAGATCAAAGGAACACCGAGACTTGAATTTCAGTCAAAACTTTGTGAGATTTTGCAGTGTACATTGTAGATCACTGAACTCAATTTCATGTTGAGTGGTTGAGAAGTCCAAATTTCCATTCTGGTGAAATTATGAGTATTTTAACCATGCATACGATGGTTCATAAAAAGGTTTGTGAAATAATTCTGTCAGTGGGCTGGACTCTGTAATGTCTTGCTTGCTGTCAAACATGAATAATGTTATTAACTAGATGTATTTTTAAAAATTTATTATCTTATCTTATATTGTTATATTTTATTTATTTATTTATTTATTTATTTATTTATTATAAACACAGACTGCACTTCACTGGGCAGCAAAACACGGAAGAGCAGATATTGTTAAGCTGTTAGCTGGCACTCATGGAATTGATGTCAATGGAAAAACAGTAAGTAATAGTTATTCACTCTCCCTTTAGTAGCGCCAGGATTTAAACACGGATGGAATTTTATCGTCTTTTACATGTTATTTTAGGAGTGTAAATTCAACAAATACGGACAGTATGACACTCCAAGAACCTAGTGACACAGTCGACCGCTGTAGTAATCTTAAGATTTCAGTGTAAATAAGAGGTCGACTTTAGGTACAGTTATGTCATCGGAACTTTAACTCACAGTCTCTTTTGTTGTATTGGAATAAGCTATACTTATGTGTTTAAGCGTACGGCATAAACATTCCTCAGTACATTTGATTGCATAAATGCTTAAAAGCTAACGTATTTCACGTTATGCACTCACATTTTTTTCCTTTTTTTTCCCTCTTGCACCCTGTCTTCTGTGGTTTCGTGAACAGAATGTAAGTACTTGTTGTAAGATTCTTGTTTTATAAAATTGTATTTGTCAGTGTTGTAATGGTTTCGACCGTACGTTCACTATCAGTTTCCTATGCCCTTTGCCTATTTGTTCATGATCATGAATGCTAATGATTAAGAGGAATAGGAATTAAAGGAAAGTGAGAATCAAACTAGGTTGAAACCATTTTAACCTGATAATGAAAAAAAAAAAGGTGTTAATAATGACGACATTTAGGTTTTGTATATGTTGTGTCAGTTTACTGTTTATTGCAATAAGTTGATAAAAAGTGCTGACAAAGTTGTTTTTTTTTCTCTTCTCTTGTGCATGTGGATCATTTTTTCGTCTTTCAGGGGGTAAGTTGCTTTTGCCGTCATTTCTATATTGTTGATTGAACGGAAACGTCGTGTTTCGTGTACAGATTATTATGTAGTGTTCCAAAATACGCTTCTTACGGAGCCAAATTTGACGAAATATTACAGCTGAGAAAGGCTGACAAACAAACAAACCGCAAAAAGCAGGAATGAGTAGAAATTGTGAGGTTACTTTTGCCCTGCGAGCGAGCTTTGACGAACAAAGCGAGTCGTGAGAAAACGCGCGAGCAAAGGGCTATGGAACGGACCCTTCCATACTCGCGTCTCCTCTCGCTTGCCGCTTGCTCGTGACTTTTCACGTTATCCCTAATTGGAGAGCTTGCTGTCAGGATAGTTTAATTTGAAAAACGGTACACGTCTCCTACGCTACAACTCAAAATCCGATGACATTTTCCAAATATGGCATGACATTGCCGGTCATTTTTCTCTGCCCTTATTATTTTTAACCAACGCTAGCTTCAATTACCTCCGTCAAGCTACAGGTATAACACACTCACTTTTCAGCCTTGCATGGGCGTTTCGTTATGCCCACGATTTGCCTTTCGTCGCTTTGAGAAAATTCGTGGGCCGAGTCTGGCAGGGTGAAACAAAAGTTCTGTTTGCTTTGCTCAGTAACAGTAAGGGTTCACCAAAAGTGTTCACCTTCTGTACTCTTTTTTCTTTCATTATCGGCAGGGTTACACTCCACTTCACTTAGCGGCCATGCATGGACATGATGATGTCATTAAACTGCTAGTGGCTGAATATGGTAAGTAGCTCTAAGCAATATTCAGTAGAGATACGTCACGATTTCTAGCCAAAGACTTGTTTTGTATGAGAAAATTACTATATTGTGGAAAGGTTGGAAGGAAGGTGAGCTAGGTAAAGAAAAGAGGGTTTAAATAAATTCGACAAACTCTTAAAATGTTTCGCTTGGGCTGAGAATAAGGCTGTTCACACTCGGTTCCCCCGAGTACTTGTTCCTGGGATCCGACACAAAATGATCATTTCTTAAACCTTGGGTACTTTTCATGTATTTGTGTACGTAATTTCTTCCATTTCGCCCGATCGGACGTTATTTTGACACGTGACAGAAGGACCTTCAGTGCCCACTTATGAGCCGTTGGGTAACAGCACCGTGTACGAATTCTGGTGTTGGTAAAACGGTTTGTTCACATTAGTGCCCAGCGAGTACCGTACTCGGGTACCATGCCTGGGCACCAAGGCTGAACGTTGCTAATGCCGCTGGAAAATTACCCAACCCATTATCAAAATGAACATTTCTGAATGGTCACGTTAAGATTTGTTTTAAGCTATGTCCTCATCAATCCGTTTGGTTTCGTTAACCCTTTAAGACTGATCTCCATACATTTGATCTCCATACATTTCTTTTAAGAACAGTTGAGAGAGTTTTAGATCAAAGCATTGTCCCTTTGGTAATCAATTTAGTAATTCTCATAGCCTGTACTCTTGTTGATCTGCTGATGTTGTTAGGAGAAAATTGATGTTGGTCGTTCTTGGGAAGGTTCACGTATCCAAAATTACGGCTTTTCGCAATGTAGTATACACTGTACATGTTATTAGCAGGTTCACAGGAAAGTACTCAGTGGTACTAGACGCGATAATCGGGTGACATGTTTCGAATTTTATCTGTTTTAACGTTTTATCTTGTTACAGATGCTGATATTAACAGTCGTGATCACAGTGGCAAAAAACCCAGACAGGTGGCCAGAGAAGGACTTACGATTGAGGCTCAAGGTAAACATGTGAATTCTTTAATCCTTTGTGTTAACCCTTCAAACCCCTTTATCAACATACCAATTCTCCACACTGATCTCTATACATTCCTTTAAGAATTAGTTGAGAGAATTTAATAAAAGATCGAGGCATTTTCTCGTTGGTGATCATTTTTATTAATTCTGCTGACCTTTTCTCTTGATTTTATATCAATATTGTAAGGAGAAAATTGGTGTTGGTCACTTTTGGGAGTTAAAGGGTTAAAGACAGTTAATCAGAGTTATTCAGAACAATTGTAGTATTCACCAATCTCTCCTTCTATTTTTATTCTATTCCACTACACTCTTACTTGTCCTTCTTGTCAGTCAAGGTATGGGCGCATTAATCCAACGCCCTACTTGATCAGAAGGTGAAAACCTTCCCTTCCCACTGTAAATGAAACCACGAATTTCCAGCGATAAATGAGGGTGGGTGGGTCGTTGTGCAACCTAACTCCTTGGGCGCTTGATCAAATTGAAGGCATACTGCAATGGGAGTTTGTCTATTTAAACATGATTAGTTATTAGTAGGAATCATAAGTCTTACAGTAATCTATCCATCCATCCTGCTTTAATAAAGTGGCTGTTAATAAATTCCTTTTTGGCTGTTTTCATGCATGTATAAATAATGGCCAGAGAGGGGAGTCGAGGGAAGTTGGGACACTAGAACCAATTAACGAGAAAATAATCGTTCATCACTGCAGGACCAAAACATACCCTATTTTACTATTATGGCCAGCCGAAATATTGTTATAAAAACAATACACGTTGTTTTAAATCAGCTTTGCAGTAGTCTTTGGACTTCTCGTTCTTGGTTCTTTATATTTTGACTGATTTGATCTCTTTTCTAGAGATCCAACGTTTACAACTAGGAGGATCTTCGTCTACGGTTTTTGCAGTTAATTTAATCCTATTTTACTCACTTGTCCCTTCCTTAGCTGAATACGTTCTCTTACTTTTGACAGGTCTACTAGAGTATCTACGATATTATTCAGGTAAATATATGCGTAAAAGTGTTGTTGTCTTTTTAATTTTTGAGCACCACAATTAAAATACTTTAGCGGCCTCTTCTGGTCAGCGGCCCACAAATCAAGCACATTCTCACGTGGAACGTTGCTGCTTCGTCGTGACAAGGATTCGAATTCTCAATCGGTTTGTAACGGTTGCGCAGTATTTGTCGTAGTCTTAGAGTTGTTTTTTGCTGCGGTAGTTTGAAGCGTTCGTCCATCCCACCAGTCAACTTTCCTTCCATTTATTCAAGTTCCTCACTGCAGAAAGTATAAGGTGAAGAGAATGGGTACAAGCCTTTCGGCGCAACGATTTCTGGGATCGTGTGCATGGACAAGCGTTCCTTATGATTGGTCAACGGTTGCCTTGAATACCATCGACCAATCATAACTAACGCTTGTCCACCCAAACAATCCCAGCAGTCGTTGCGTCGAAAGCTTGTACCCATGTCCCTTATAACTTGGTGTGGAGAATAAGGGTAAAGGGTGCCTGCAATGGAAGCTCATGGCTGAGTAGAGGTATTTGGTAGCCGTGGGTGCTGCAGAATGGTTCCGCAGCAATTTGTGAACGCCCCTGGATACCTCTTTCGTTAAGGCGAGATAGTTGGTTCCACTGTCCATTTTCATAGCTGTAAAATTCTACAAATACACTGTACGTCTTCCCATAAACCTTCCATCACTCTGCGCATTTTAACATCCCGACAAGCGATTTGGTTGAAGCTTCTGGCTTGACCATCTATTGTTATTTAACGGCTGATAAATTCAATCAGAGGGTCACCGGTGCAAACAGTGAAGTTACTTTTAGTTGGCTGAGATGTTTTCTTCTCCTTATCATGGAAAAATAGACGAGCCCGCGAGCCCAAGCAGACGACACAGCGGGATTTTCGTGACTGGGTTAATGCGACTGAGTTGGCGACACAAGAAAGACAAAAATAACAACAAGAAACGGAAAGAACAAAATTAAACTGCCACTCAAATGCTGTGGTGTTAGATATGTTAGGAAAGAATAGTCTCTGTATTGAAGTTAGTATACGCGTTTTGTATTTTTTGACTTCTAAGAAGCAATAGTATTTGTTGAAAGTTAGCAAAATCCTTACTTTTGGCTGCATTAAATTAAAAAAAATAACAGCGACGCGTTATAACAGAAGTATAAAACTATGTAGCTTGAAAATTGATATCTGTAAAATTCAACGCAAACTTTTACCAAAAGTAGGAGTAAAGCAAGTAATCCATCTTTATCCATGTTAAGAAACAAAATCATCTCATATGAGGGATTTTATTGTTCCCATTGCATATTTCACATTATGTAATAGTATTTTCAAAACGGTTCGATTTAAGAACGGATTAGGACCAAGTTTCAGACATAATTTATCCGTTTATTGTTTAATCCATTGATCATCAGTTTTCCTGATGTTCAAAGACACTGCAGTGAAGTCAAGTTAACGATTTTATCGCCCATATTTGAAAATATATATGTATTTTTTTTTCAAAGCGCCTCCGTTCAGTGCGTGTTTCCTCTAAATGTTTAGCGGGATTTGGTAGAGGGGTTGACAAGCGAGACTAGGTGAGGGTCTGAAGGTGGCTCGGTGTGGAATGATACTCTCTTAGAGGGCCTAGGGCGCGGTTGGGCTCCTTTCCGTATGCAGTGTACCTTGAGGTCCTTTGTAAAATTATAGGACGTGGTGGTGGATAAAAGAAACTTTAAGTCAGTACAAGACACCTGACGAACCTTTGTCCGGTAACATGCAATGTCTGTGGTCGATAAACTTCCTTTTGAGTGGTCAATTTCACTTTTCCTGCTGTATGTTTAAGGTGATGCATCGTACTCTTTTCTTATATTTGGATGTCAAAAACGTCCCGCTGTTGAAAGAACTTCTCTTTTCTTTTCCTTTCCTTTCCTATCCTCTGATAGGCTAAAAGAGTACTTGATGTTAAACTTTATGAGGTGCAGTCTACTTTTAACGCACCATCTGTAACCAGAAGCTGTTTTTATTATACCAAAATTTCATTACAATGTAGAGTTTGTAAACAATTTAGATTATACTAATGCAGATATGCGTTAAGGGCGCTTCTATATTGACTGTTTTAAAACCAAACCCTAAAAGCATCATGCCTACTTTTGAATCACACTCAGCCTCACCAAACTCAGTCAATCAAATGAACCTGTCGGAACTCGGACCTAGCAGTTATTTGAGAAAAAAGATATACTGTTTTCTGCTTTTACTTCTGATAAGTTAAAAACGTTAAGTGAGATTTTTTCCAGCCCGTTCTAACCGTCGCGATTTAAGACCAAACCAATCATGTCGTTTTTTTCAACACTCAATTGAAAGCTGCTCAGTCTAAAACAGTAGGAGACTGTGATAACTTACTTCATCGAGCTCTAAAACTGCCAGTTTTAAAACAAGCGACTGCAGAGCTAAACTCCAAACCAGTGGAAATCGTTGTTTGTCTGTTTGTTAGCTGAGTTATTTTGTGGAACCAAGCGTGCTACTTGAATTACGCCAGAGAAGAGTTTTGCACTAACGAAACCGTGTCTCGCGTTTGGAAGCCAATTGCAGTAGTTGCCAATCGCACAAATTAATCTGTGCACCACCCCCCCCCCCCCTCCCCCCCTCCCCCCCCCCCCCCCCTTTTTACCAAAAATGTCCGTGCAACCTTATTAAATCTCCCCCTCCCGACATTAGGAATAAAAAAACAAGAACCCAAATTGTTTTGTGTTATGTGAAACTACAATTGGCGGACAAAACTGTCATGTTTAAAACAACCCACTGCAGAGATAAACCCCAAACCAGTGGAAATCGTTTTTTTTTTTTTTGTTTGCTGGGTTATTTTTGGGAACCAAGCGTGCTCCTTTAATTCCGCCAGAGAATAGTTTTTCTCTAACGAAACCGTGTCTCCCGTTTGGAAGCCAATTGCCGTAGTTTCCCATCCCCCAAATTAATCTTTGCACCCCCCCCCCCCCCCCCTTCCCGCCTTCCCTACCCTGCTCCCTTTTTAACGAAAATGTCAGTGCAACCTTGATAAGTCATCCCGTCCGGACATTAGGAATAACAAAATCATGAGCCAATTTGTTTGTGTTAAATGTGAAGCTCAGTTCGCGAGACGAACAAAAATATATCCAATGAGCGGCAGCCTTACCGTAGAGTGAATGTATAAAGGCTGAAAGCGCCACAAAATGGTTGGCTCGAAAAGTCTCGGAAAACATGGGAACTAGTTCTACAGCAGACTGGAAAGTCATGCATTAGTCGTTGATTTTACATTTCTTGAAAGATCAGTTTTCCAAGAACATTCAACACTTTAGACTAACTTTTACGCCAATCATATGGCTGAATACGCCTACACGAGATTCTTAATGCATGGAATCCACGTGCTTATGTAGAGGGTATTACATGGCTGCGTGGAGACACGAAATTTCTCTTCCAGTGTTGAAAAATATTTTTGAACACGAGAACAGAAATTTCCTGTCTCCAAGTGGCCATGTAATGTTCTATTAATTATAGAAACGTCAATGAAATTCGAAACAATTTCCCTTCAATATCTTCGCGCGATTTATCATGTAGCCATAGCAACGATGATATTTTCACATGTGCAGATAACATGTTATTTTTACTGTTTGTGCTCGAAAGCTCACCTGGAATTTCATTGTTGTTTATAATCAATTGTATCATTTCATATATCGTTCCATTGTCAAAATAGCGCATGCGTTTGTTAGCAGTTTCTAAAGGAGCTGTGTCGTGTTTTTGGTTTTTCCCGCTTAAAACCCTACTGTTTGTTATGGAGATAAAAAAGGATTTCAATTTCTAAACAAACCTAGATCATCTTTTTTCAAGGTTAACTCCTCTGTTGTCGAAAAAGTTACCAAAAACTGTTAACTGACCGTGTTTTGTTTTGCATTTGAGGGAATCTCTGTATATCTTTCTCTTAGAGTTTTTAGTGTGAAAAACGTTGACTTTACATCAAATTTGAACCTTGATTTGGCTAAGTTTTCACCGGGTTTGATTTTGACCTGTTTTACCTACGAGAGAAAATAGCAAAGTTGTGTACTTACCTTGTGTGAAATGCACCTTGGGTCCTCTTTCTCTGCTATATGTTGAAGATGATTGTAGACAAATTATGGCATAGAGGGAAATACGGGATACGTCGTTGTTAAGATTGATAACAATCAACTTTGTGCTAGCTGTCGTTTTTGCGCCTAATGTCGTGATAAGGAGTTTGTTCAACCTAATTCTGTTTTTGGGTATCTAACGAGCCACACCATTGAAAAAACCCCAGCGCGAAATTTTTGATCTTTGGGCTACAGTTCCTTTTGCTGAACACATTTTTCGCAAAACATTCCCCTGGAAGTTCTTCTGTGAAACCTAAAAGTTGTCAGTGATGTTGTATTGCGTTGATTGTTGACCAGTGTTCTTGTTTTCGTAGACTCCTCTTCAGAATCTTCTGGTTATGGGTCACTGCATAGTAAATATGGTTCCACAAGCTCTTCACCAAGTATTATGCTAGCGAGTCAATATTCTAACAGTGACAAAAGCAGTAAAAATGAGGCGTCCGACGACAAGTCTCGATCAAGATCGGTGAGGACCAGTTATTTTTATATTTTATAATTTAGAAATGGTAAACGTGCAGCACGCAACCATCTAGTTGTTATTGCTGCACGCGAGAGGTTGCTAAGCAAGAAGGAAGCGTAAGAGTTGCTAAAGGCGTAGCGGCGTGCAACTCTAGCTTCTTGAGTGCTTAGCAAACCGTGCAAGTGTATCCATAACTCCATGGTTGCACTCTTACAACGTTTACCATTTCTTGTAAAACGTATTCGAACGTGAAAAAATTTTAATTTCGTTTAAAAGTAGCAGGGGAATGACCACGCGACCGCTGTCCTCTGCGCGAGCTATGGCGTGTGCAAATCATTCTTTTCAAATTCCTCTCTTTCAAAAAAATCGTTCCAGTGAGTAAGTAGTCCTCGTTCTCAGCGTGGAATGTAAAAAACTTTTTACGTTATCTTAAACGGTGTTTGTAAGACTTTCTTTCAGTATTAAGTATTGAAGTACATACAGCGAACAAAGAGATCACTCCATGCGTTAAATGGTCGGTAAAATTGGAAAATTATGAAACCGTCAGCCAAAAATTAGTCGCGGTCGCTTACTTAGGGTTCTAATTGTATGGCTTTGACTGGGAAAATTTTGGTGTTTTGGATAGGTGGTCGCTTATGGGAGGTGGTCCCTTACAGGGCATGATCGTTTACGAGAGGTTCCAACTGTAAGGCTTTGACTGGGAAAATTTTGGTGTTTTGGACAGGTGGTCGCTTATGGGAGATGGTCGTTTACAAGAGGTTCCAACTGTAAGGCTTTGACTGGGAAAATTTTGGTGTTTTGGATAGGTGGTCGCTTATGGGAGATGGTCGTTTACAAGAGGTTCCAACTGTAAGGCTTTGACTGGGAAAGTTTGGGTGTTTTGGATAAGTTTTGGATAGGTGGTCGCCTATGGGAGGTGGTTGCATATGAAGGTTCAACTGTAATGGTAAATGATAAAAAAAAAAAATGTATATATCGAGTGTTGGTGGCGATTTCATTGATTAAAGTGATTGAAATGATCCTATGAAAATTAATCGTAAGATAAAAACTGAAGTCTATTTCAGAAACCAATGTCGCAACCACCGCTTGTTCTCGCAACTAGCGTCCACATGATCATAGCGAAGGAGAGTATCCTCACTTTTACGATAATCCCCCAAAATAATTCTAATATTGATCTCATTAGTCATGACGTGGAAGAGACTGGAGATGATTTTTTGGGGTCAGTTCTATTAAGTCTTACATCAGACGTGAACTGCTGACTTGCTAACTGAACAAGTCTGACTGGGCTGAACGTCAGGCGTTGGCGAAAAGATCCGACATTAAAAAATACACAGCTGTTCCTTGAAGATGCTTCTGAATGGGACTATTGTTGACTGTAGCTTTTTCGAACCTGGCTACTACTCCCCTTTCTCTCCCCCGCCTCCTCGCGCTTGCTGGCTTACTCTTCGTCCTATACTCCACGAGAGATCCTGATGAAAGCTACTTAACAACGGACCTAACCAGTAGAGTCGTTGGTATGCCGCCCTGGTCGTTGGTCGTTGCGTCTGACCCACGTTAAACTTTGCGCAATTTCTTAGCAGCCTCTCGTGCCGGACCCGACCCGTGGACTAAAATTTAAGTAACTGGTCCCTGATGATGATTCTGAACGGGACTGTTGTTAACTGTAATATATCAACAGGGTCCCGGAGGAGCGCCTGGAAGGACTGTCGCTCCTCTAACCCCCTCTCCCCCCTCCCCCATTCGTCTACTCGGTTGTCAGCTGCTGCTCGGGTTTCGAATTTATGAAAGATACATTTAGCAAAGACGACGTGTCGACAGTGACGACGGCTCGCGCAGATCTAAAAGTTATTTAACCAATGGTGGAGCGTTAACTTGAGGACAGGAAGTTGCGTCAAGTTCTTTTCGCGCCGTCTCGCCTTCTCGTTTGATTTTTCTTTGGCCAAACCTGCCTAATAAGAGGAGCGTCGTGAAAGAAACAGGCCGCCGGCAGGTCCCTAGTTCGGCCTCCAGAGGAAGGGATTCTATCTGTCGCTTTACGCAGACGCTATTCCAACGTCCTCTGATACTTACCATTGTCGACCCTTTTGAGGTCTGCGGTGTTGCTGCTATTTATGGTAGTTTGCCATTTAATTCAGTCCACAAAAAGGAAATGAAAAAAGGGTTCCAAAAAAGAAGCCTCGAAACTTAATGTGCTATTAAGTTTTCTTACAAATCAAACGAGGGAATATCTAGTAGTGTTAGTAGTATCCAATCAATTCATTATTCAGGAAAGAAAATAAATTTATGATTTTTTAAATAGACCCAGTTTTCTTTATCAAGTTTTTTAGTGAGAATCATCTGGTAAAAATCCGTCGACATCGCTGAAAAGAAAGCCTTAAACATCAGTAAAATAACTAAGTTTGTTCGTCAATCACGAGCAAAGATGTAGCTTCCTCAAGTCGCGAACTTTTGCGGACGTTTGTATGGTGGTGGACAAGTTGGTGCCCCCATCATATAAACGTACATCTTCATTTTTAAGAGTTTGCGACTTTGCCGATCTTCCTATCTTCGTTCTTTTTCAACAAATCACTCTCAAACTTGGCAATTGCTGTACTACTTTTCAAGCTCCCTTTCAGCGGTGTCGACGGATTCTCACTAACTGGTCCATGTCAAAATTAAAAAAAAAACGTGGAGTGTCTATTGAACATTTTGAACACTGGATGCTTTTTTTATATTTGCTTTATTTTGTCAACTAGCGAATCCAGTGAAAAACAGTTTTAATCTTATCAATTTTAGGTAACATCTCAATAATGTGCGCTGTCAAAAAAGCGTTGACGGTCATCTCGCTCCCAAACTATCCCGTCCCATGCGAAATCTTCACCAAGAAGTCAACTCGCCATCAACGAGTAACTGGGAAACACTTGACACAGTTTAATACCTAAGGTTGCTTACGTAATATTTTTTTTATTCGAATTTGAAGTCGACCCAAACACAAATATGTTAGACCTTTTTAACGATTATTGCGTCGAAGTTCTTGATGGTTTGGTGGCGAGGTGACTGGTTAGCCAAAAAAGAAGGAGATGAATGAGGAAAGGCTGAGAGCTGGGATAGTTTACTGTATAATAATTATACTGTGACAAACTACCTTATTTGGCAAACTAATAAACCGCTGAAATCATAGGAGAAAATAGAGTGAGGCTGTGGCCAAAACGCTTTTTTTATTGTTTGAATTAGCGCTTTTGGCTTGGAAGTTGTTAAGACTCAGTGAGGCGGGGGAAGAGAAAGTGGAAACATTAAATTTTACCCTTTTAAAAGCATCCTAATGCGTTTTTTTTTCTGTTACCTTCAGTTTTCAGAAGTGAAAAAAGATGAAATAAATATGGTTTCTTTCCGTCTCTCTTGATTGTAACAGTGTACGATAGGAGGATTAACAATTTCTTCAATTGATCAATCAGGCACGATTGAAACAAACAAACAAACGACACACATTTTGTAGGGGCTAGTAAGGTTTAGTAACAGCGTCAAATTCTGCTATAGGTCAGTCAGACAAAATCAGTTATCAAAAGAAACCGCCAGCGGTCACCATGGGAAATAGAAAGACTGCCAGTCTTTCTATTATCCATGCAGTTACTAAGGTTTATCGCGCGGGCGAGTACGTAACGTGCGTGCGAGCGAGGCAAATGCGCGAGGGAAAAGCACGAAGGAAACGCGTGGGGGAAATACATTAAGTAGATAGTCAAAGTGGATCGGCAGTATGAGAATTAATTTCCTCTGGCGGTAAATGGAAAAAAAAAAAAAAGAAATTGGTTCACGGACCGCCAAAGTTTGCAAAATTATTTAGTGGATGCCTTGCATGAGAAGGGAAATGAATACGAAACGATACTGAAGTTATAGAGGTGATATTACCCGGCGAGGGTGCCTTCTCTAGATTGTTCTTTGTTGTTTGCTTGCACATTCCAATATTTTGAAGGCGAATTGTAAATCGTAGATACGACGTGTTGTGCGAATTTTGGTAATCGTTAAATTTCATTTACTTTTCTTTAAAAGTACCGGCTAAAACGGTCAGATTGAAAATCAGTTGAAATGTTGAAATGTCAAGTATAATCTTTTAAAGCTTTGGGGAAATGATATTAGTCAAAACTGCTTATGTTTGGATGTTTTAGATTTCTGTAAACAATTTAGTTTATTCATTTTGTGTCATGTTGTCGTTGTTTTTTCCCGTCGGTGTCGAAAATCATAATGATTGCAATTTTACTCATCCCTAAAACTAAGACAGATCAGAAAAAATATATTGTCTCAGTTAACGTATGAAAGCCAATTCAAATAAACCAGATCGAAAGTCATGGTAAAGAAAGTGTGTTGGTTTCTGATGACTGTGGTCAAAAATAATACTTGGCTTTGTCAGTCCAATTATGACGGTGAACTTACCAGTGAGGAGCATGGCGAAACTCATTCGTTGTCGCGGCCGAAATCTTCTTGTGTCGCTGAATTAATTACAAGGAATTTTTCCCATTTCCTTACGAAATCTTTTTGTTGTAGTTGTCGTTGCTTTTCAAAAAAGCCGTCTAAGATTTTGTTGAGCTTGAAATTGTCTCAGTAATGAATACTTTTCGTACGGAAGTTTCGATCACGAAAGCGACGAGTCGAAAGTCTTGAAGCTTGTCAACCAGGCTTGTTGCTTAAGGAAAACCACAAGTCGCTTCCTCTCTTCCTTTGCGCTCGGGGCCAATATTTTTAATGTGTGAACGGTTGAATGTAAATATTCCGCTCCATAAAGTATGCAATTGACTTCACTGTGTGGCAAATTGCCTGCACATCAGGCGGTTGAAAGGTAGTCATCCTTAATCGTTATTCGAAGGTCAAAAATAACAACATTAAAATCGTTAGAATGATTTGACGCGGAAATGTGTTTTCTCTGAATACCCACTGCATTTTAATAACGTGAAGTATTTGAAAACGCTGATAATATTTTTCAGTGATAAAACAAATTAATAGTTAGGGTTAAAGGCTTATAATTTGGCGAGAAAAAAAAAAATATAGTTTTGATTTGTTTGAAAGTTAACGGCTTCATCCTGTATTTAGAGTCGTTTAAGTGTATTTGGCCGCAGCGTTGATGGGTCGAGAGGAGTTGGAGTATATTAACGTTTAGTTTGGATGTATTGAAGATTTGAACACAATTACTTCAAAAGAAAAAAAAGTTCCTGTTTAGACAATAAATATTCTCGTTTTGTGTTCAAATTGTTAAATGAAAGATTTCACTCAAGTTAAAAGTTTCATAGGAATTTTGATATATATTTTTTCTTCAGTAAATATTAACGAACAAAGAGTATAGCTTTTAAACAAATATTTTGCTCGCCGTCGCCCCCGCCAAAAAGCTCTAACTTGTGTTTAGATAACAAACTTTAGTGTCGTACATAGAGTGGTTTTCGTTTGAGTGTCGTAAAACCAAAACCAAAGTAATTACTCTGGCCAATCACATAGGACACAGACAATACATTGAACCAATCAAAACTCGAAGTAATTACATGTGGCTGACGCAAAGCGCGGGAAAATGCATGCGAGCGCGTCACAATTGGCTTTGGTTTTACTTCTGATTGGATGCAAAGGTGGCGCGAATCTTTTAAGCCAATCGCATCGTGTAGAAAGTGCAAAACCAATTACTTTTCGACACTCAAATGAAAACCGCTCTATTTTAAAGCTGTTTAATGTTGTTTTGATTTTTGGATCCTCTGTGCCCTTTCAGTTTCTTTTTTTATTGAGAGATACATTTTCCCTTTGATTCACATCTGGCCTTAGGCTACCTTATATACTCGAATGAGCGTCGCGGCGCCTATTAATTTTTAACGCCACAAATAAGGCGCTTATTTGAGGGCAGCGTTGTTTTGAAAGTTGGACGCGACAAAGAATTGTATCTCACCGAAGTTAATTCTACCGTATTATTATTTTCTGTATTAAACTAACAGAATTAACGTCTTTTGATTCTGATTAGTCGGTGGCGGTGTTTATTCATTTTTTTCATCCAACTGCAGCGCTTAATCGGGGCGGTGCTTTTTTGAGTAAATACGATATGTCTACCGACTATAATACTTCACTTCACTTTCAAAGGTTTTTGAAACGTTGTTGTCTCTTTGTTTAATAAACATTTGAAACCGAAATCTATACCTATGACTCTGTTTCTCAGTGTGTTTGATGCAAATTTGTATTTCATGTTCAACGTAGAAGAGTGCAGTGGCGGATCCTGGGGAGGGGCCCGGAGGGCACTGGAGTGTGCCTGGCCGGTTGGTCGAAAATTCTCTCCTTCAAGTTAAATTTTTTCGGCCCGACATTTCTTACACATGAGGATCTGACACTCGTTACGAGAGATGTTAGTCAATGTATGCTATTAAAATGTCTCTGAACTAAACATATGTTTTACTTACTTAATTTCTTTTTTTGTTTCTAATCAGTCATCAATAGGGCGATTCCTTTTGAAGAAGAAACAGAAAAAAGAGCGAGCCCCAGTCCCTAACTTTCCAGCGAGTCACGCATCGGCAGGGTAAGTCACACCTCTCTTGATTTACTCAATCTACGAAAATAACATCAACAACGAGCCAGACGAGCTTTATTTGCATGACCATACAAGTACATACAATATTGCAAAAGCTATTTTAAGAACCAAAATTACATCATAGGGCAATTACATTACTTTGATTGGTAATAATTTGTTCCGAAGATCAAAGCAAGCTGAAATATATTTTTGAATTGTATATTGATAAAGTAATTAGAGGAGTTCATCAGTTCGTTGATCAAAACGTTTGCAGGTAACTGGGTTATGTTTGGAATCAGAGTCTTGACTTTGTTGTAAAAATAGAATAAAAAGTAAATAAAAAGTTCCAAGTTCAACAGTATCAACCATAGGTACAGAATTACGTTTCATAGACTGTTCACGTCCCCTATTTTTCCGTGAGATCGTCGTGATATAGCGCGTCTTACCGTTAATGGCGGCCATCTTGATTTTCAAATGTACCGAGGGGGCGGGCATCGGGGATTATGCATGTAGCTCTAGTGGGGAGTAGTAGTTTTGACACTCATCCAAGATGGCAACCCGTAACGCGTAGCGCTCGATCTCGACGATCTTACGAGAAAACAGGGGACTGTGAACAGTTTACGATGCACCGAGTTTTCTGCTCCATTTACATTGTGCCTATTCTCTCCTCCGCTAAGCCTCCTGTTGGGTATTCCGATTAAGCAGGTCATCTTCAATAATTAACAGTTATTGAATGAGGCTAAGTATCATTTGAAGAATTATGGAGATTGAGGAGGGTGTTATCCGCCATTTTGTATTCACTACCAAAACTACTCAACCTCGTTCCCAGGTCTTCTCGGTTAACCGTTCGATAATCTGGCAATTTTGCTGCACGATTGACGTCATCAGTTCACATATCGCAAAATTCTTCCAAATTTGGTGGACAGTAGCTGGTTATGATGAATTATGCTAGGGATTTTAGCCAATCAGAAACGGATAAATATTTTGAATGAATAATAACTAGAGCTACAGGGATGTCACTAAAATTTGAAGTTGCCGGTTAAATACAACAAGTAGGTGGGGAATAAAACAGCTAGGGATTTCTTTTGGTTCTATATTTCTTCTATTTTCCTACGAAAGAAGCCGGGGGCCACGTTCATACTAGCCGGGGGAAATCCCTTGCCCCCCGACGCCTCTTGATGACAGCCCTGATTTGACAGAGAGCAAATAACTCAACGCATTTTTTAAAAAAGTCACCTTATAGAACAAATCTAAAAGTAAATCCTGAACATGTGTGTTAGACCCTGTTAGTAAATGACTTTTTTTAATATTCGTAAATAAGTGGATAAATGGCTAAATAAATAAACTAGTGGATTATATTAAATTTGAAAATAAAATAAATAAAAAATAAATGAAATTATTAAATAGAATGTAAAATAAATTGGAAAGAATATACATTATAAAATAAATAAATAAATAAAATGACTAAATAGATTTACTAAATGAAATTAGATAAATTAGTAAATTAACAAATAAATAGATAAAATAAATACATAAATACCCGGTAAATAAAGTAATGAACAAATAAATGACTTTCGTTGTAATTCTAGTTTTCAAGGAACGATGATTTACCGGCGTCGTCGGACAGAAGCTCCAAGTTTGGACGCAACTGTTCTTCAAAACAGTTTTCGTAGAATATTGGGCTCAAGTCTAGAATCAAAACATGGAAGACGAATGTACAATTATACGATATGAACATAAAGCTAAAAGTTACGTGACAAGTAATTTGATTGATATATAAGTTAAAATAATTGCAATTTTAATTAAAGTGGCACTAAAGCAGACTTAAATCAAGTTTATTATTATTGCGTAGGAAGCGTGAGAAAAATTCACAACTGCTAGGATCATTCTTCATTTGATTTCATTTCCGCAGTTCTTGTATGATTTATTTCATATACATCTATCACATTATTATTGTTGTCATTCTTCTTCTTCTTCTTCTTCTTCTTCTTCTTCTTCTTCTTCTTCTTCTTCTTCTTCTTCTTCTTCTTCTTCTTCTTCTTCTTCTTCTTCTTCTTCTTCTTCTTCTTTATTTTTTAATTTTCGGATTGTGTCTGTAAAATTTCTTAGGGCTTCGAGCGTGGCAGGCTAAATTTGACTCTCATTTTTTAGCAGAATTTGCTTCCTTATTGCGCAGACAACCATCTCATGTCTAGTCTCCTCAGATGCAATCGCTTTTTAAGGTTGCCTTGGAGACTAGAGTCTCGTCTATATTCACAATATACCGCCAAAGACGTCGATACGGTATAGTAGAACAGAAACAGTATGAAACGGTCCTAGGTTATTCACTTTGCTGCGGCACTTGAATTGTTCTGAAAGAAAAACTTGTGAATGCGATGGAAATGGTCAAAGTGTCACTTTCAGGAGCTTCCCATCACAGAGGGTTTCCGACTCAGATTCATGCGAAAAAAGGAGGCCAGGAGGGGAGTGATTTAGCTACAATGAGGTAGCTATGCATAGGAGGTATACAGTTCGACCGACGGTCGAACTGTATACACCCAAGTTGTTGTAGCCATTTGTACTTTCTGGCTGTGTTGTACAACAGGTTCAACATGAACTTGGGTGACCTGCACCGATACGTGTGGGTAATATAAAATAAAGAAAACTCCACTTTCTTTTTTTTCAATTTGTAGACTGCTGATAAGTTCTCCTTACTCACTGGAATCGGGATCACTTGAAAGGAGTCCAAAGTTTTCACAGAGAACATACTCCGATCCTAACCTACTAAAATCAACTGGTGTGTAGCCTAAAGAGCTGACGTAATGAAGTATTCTAAAAGCTGTTAGTTTCTCCTGCCTTTCGAACGGGCTGAAGGAGTTGTATTGAAGCTGGCGGAAAGATTATCCAGCCCTTCTTCTCTGGGTAAGAGCGCGCGGTTTTTACAAGTAGCAACACATTGCCTACTACAAGAAGCTGCTGTCAGTAGGGGATCATTATGTATTGTTTGTTAAGGCGTTTAGGAGTACGGACAATGGTCTTCCCATGCGTATAGAAATGAACTGTGTACAGATATAAAGCATGGATGTATTTAATGCGTTATGTACATTTAAGCTACAAAGAATGTATACACAATAAGCCATTTTCACGTTGACGACATTTGACGGCATTTGCCGGAATTCATTTCCTTTTTGTCTTATTTTTCTTCTTCATATTTATTTATTTAAATTTCTCAGTCCCTCTGAGGTATAAAAAACAATAGCTCTAATTTGCACAAAAACAACAACAACAACAACTACCCAAAGGATTCTGGCAGTTGTAGTAAAATGACGTCATCGTGCAATTATTTTGTCGCTTGTACTAATATACACTCAGCTTTCAATTTACTGAGAATTTTGTAACGCGTAAAAAGAAGATTGGGATATCAATTTAGAAGCATTTATATATACTTACGATATTTTTACATTAACTGCGGCATTTTTGTTGGATTCGTAAAAATCTCGTGCTAGAATTTCTTATTTTTCTGCAACGCTACATGTAAGTCGCTTTGTATCCTACAGTTCTTATTTTGGTTACTCAGTATGGTTTATATAAAGTATAAGTTTTATGTAAACAAATAAAAGGAAAATGTTGAGCTGTTTTCTAGCCTTTCGTAGGTACCTGCTAGGCACCTGATAAGGAAGTGTATTCTGTCCTTATCCCCGACTGAATGACTCACCCTATTTGCAGCAACCAATCACACGCTTAGTGAGGTCATTGAAAAGAGCAACGCAACGAAAAATTCCGGCCACCTGGAAGCTCGCAGCTCTGTGTTGAAAAAAAGTGGCTCTGTTTGTCAGCTCATCCCAAGGAGAACGTCCCAAGCAAGAAAGCGAAAGACGCTCAAGCTAGAAAGTTAAGATTGAACTGAGTTGTATTTCAGGAATAACTTGACAATAGCACAAAACTTCAAGATTTAAAGGGGGGAAGGAAAATGCTATCTAAAGGCGCTTTCCATTTGTCAGAACTGGCCGGCCGGACCAGTCCGTTAGCAAATGAAATGGGCTTTTTCCAGAAGGTTTCGATGAAAAACCATCTCCTTCGTGCATACTATTTAGGATTTGACTGATCTGGTTGGATAGTCTTGATTAAAAGTGAAATTCCCATTACGACGGGAATGGTCTGGCCGGTCAGTTCTGACAAATGGAAAGCGCCCTAAGTTTCAAGTTTCATCCTTGGAAAACGATCGATCGTTCGTTCGTAGAGAGGCGAAACGGTAGCATAAGGTATCGATTGCGTAGAGAGGATCGATAAAGACCTCGGGATCTTTAAAATTATTTGGGTGCGAATTGATAATCTCGAATTCAAGCTCGAAACACATGCAGAATTGTTCAAACGCTGGTCAAGCCACACAGGGAAATATCGCCCAGGCGACCAGCCTGGACGTGGAAGACGAGATTTCGCTGTGCTCTGCAAAAAGATGTCGGATATCGGGGGATAGACCTTTACAGCGATACGGCGGCCATATTGAATTAATTCGATTTAAGGAGTATTTTAGGATGCCCAGGGGGCATGAGCACATTTCATTTGTATTTCGAGCGCTTTTCGGGACATTTTTTCGCAAAGTTCTCTTAGAATTTGATTGTGATGGAAAAAAAGATCCTTGTGCCGCGTTTGGATGTAATAATGATCGCCTTTTTCCCGAGAAATATACAGTGAAAGACCATATTCCTAATACTAAGCTAGAAAAAGGCGATCATTGTTACATCCAAACACGGCACGAGGATCTTTTTCCCCATTACAATCTTATTCTAAGAAAACTTTAAGAAAAAATGTCCCGAAAAGCGTCCGAATTTATAAACGAAATGTGCTCATGCCTCCTGGGCATCCTATAATACTCCTTAAATCGAATTAATTCAATATGGCCGCCGTATCGGTAAAAAGGTCTATTAGATCAATCAGATTTAAGGAATAAATTTACAACAAATAGGAAAGGAGACACGGATGGACAGACTTAAGAAAGATTGAAACGGATTAGAATTGTGGATTTTGAAGACTTACGGTTTTTTTGTAACGCTTGATATAAGGTTCGGAAGAGATATTTGGTTGACATGAAATTGTAATTTTTTCATTCGTAAGTAATTTCTCAAATTTCGCAGCGAACCAGCCTAGTCCCTAGCCGTTCTCGGCTCGGTCAATCCTGGACTTATCCCGGACTCTACCGTGAGCTGTAACGTCACCGAGAGATACTCGCCGATAACTCGCCCGCTCTTTCCCAGAGTTCGCGCAGACAACGGGCAAGATTAAACACCTACGGAATTAGGCTGATAGCAAACAAGGCCTTTTAATTCAGTAGCATTAAACAAGATGAACTGGACCGCCACGAAACACCGACTTTAATGTTGCTGTTTTGGCTCAAAATCCCATGGATAATTCTTTATAACCATGCAGCTAGCGTTGGCCAAATTTGAAAGATTTGATATTTGGCCGTTACCAATAGGAGACGAGGCGCTTTTGAAATTCAATTTCACCTCATGAAACATGTAGTTTCAGTCTTTTTACATGGGATGTGTGAAAGATCATCATGATAGAGATAGCTTTTGATCTTTCACTCTTTTTGATGCTAAAATTTAGACAAATTGTAAGTTGAACACTCATTATTAAAGTAATTATATTTTAATTAATGAGAGGACGAACAACAACTAATTTGAAAACTTCCTCTTAGTTATCGGTGCTAGTTCCTCATTCGGATCCGACAGGCTTCCATTTTATTTTTAGAAAATTTACTGTTTATGTATAGGCTTGAAATAAAAAAAAAAAAGAAAAGAATTAAAAGGAGGAAAAGAATTGTTTGCCGCTATGACGAATCATCTGCTCTGAACTGCTGTATTTGCTACCAATAATGTCAGCGAAAGTTATTTTCCATGTGTGCTAATTTAAAAAAGCCTCAACAAAGTGTATTATTTTAATTAGCCATGAATCGGATTTCCACCCCCTTGTTCCTCACAACATGTCATCGCCAAGCTCCAATCCTTTTAACGATAATTAACTGCCGCTTATCTTCAGACCACCTAAACAACACGGTATTTACTGATAGCTAACTTTTAAAGATGAGATTGCGAATCACTTGACTGAAATATATGTTGGGTTGTACATGTTAAAGAAATTCTGAGATTGCGCTAAAGGTAGAGTTGCAAGAAGACAGGAATATTTCCAGGAAGTTCACTAGAAGTCGTGGAAGGTAGTGTCGTAACTCTTTGAATCGGCTCCTGCCGCCATTCATTCTTTTATCTAGCAACACCTCAGACGTTTTTTGTTTTAAAATTGACTTAATTTAGCTTTTCTCAATTCCAGGAGACTGTTTCATTTTCAAGGTTGTTCGTTGTCTCCAATTCATGGGCTGAATTGGGATTGTTCTTGGGTGGATCAAGTTTTTTTTTCGCTACGTCACCAGCTTGGAAATGTGAAAGTATGAACAAAAGTGCCGTGTTCTATATGGAGTTGTTTTCCAAATGGGCCTGGTCCTTCACGTGGATCATAGAAAGACTATCCATGGCCCTTCATCGGTGCAAATACAGTTACGTTGGAACCAGTGCAAGCTTTCAGTTTGAGAGCTTTGTGTACGCCCTGAATTCAAAATTTTAAACGCTTTGTAGTGCGCGCGCGGCTGCAGTATAGAGGAAACGGAAGCCTGGACTAGTGCCTAGTTGAAAAGTCAGACGCATATATCTCCTGGAAACCCCAATTCCGCGGCGGCATTGACAGAGTAACCAGCCGTGCTAAAATGCTCGGCGACAGGAAAACTCGGCAAGTTACTCTCAATGCTTTGAAAAAAGATGTTCGCCGAAAGGCGTTGTCTCCGCAGTGTATGCCAACTCGGTTTTGCCAATGTAGATGGCAGGCCTAGAACAAAGGCGACAGAAGATGAGGTAGACTAAGCCAGACGTTTGAAAGGAAAGTTTTCAGTTGAGCCGTTATCCAGGAGGTGGATTGATTTTCGACAGAAAAGAGTAATAAGTCTGATGACAGCAGCGGCTCATAAGCGCGTCCATAGGAAATTCACGCTAACTAGACTAAAGCGTCGTAGGGCAAACAGGAGATTTCTTACTGCCTATTTGAATGAATGAATGAATGAATGAATGAATGAATGAATGAATGAATGAATGAATGAATGAATGAATGAATGAATCCATTCATCCATCCATCCATCAATCAATCAATCAATCAATCAATCTATCAATCAATCAATCAATCAGTTATATTTCAATACGGTTGTTTCGATAAGTTGAAAACTTCTTTACGCGAGAGCCGTATTCAAATACACCCTGTATAATGTAAAGGTCTTTTAAAAGTGACCAATAAAGTACAAAAATTATGTTTACAAATTCTACCAATCCTAATTAAAATACTTAGAATCCGAATCAAAAGAGGCAATAACAGAGAAATTTAAGGATTAAGTGACGATTTGACAGCCACCGATGGGTTATTTCATTTAATTTCATTGTCATTTTTTTCCTTAGTTTATTCTTTCGCTTACGTTTAGATTTTCTCACGCTATCGATGCATTCCGCTGAGTGTACCCAGTCCTTGGAGATCAGGATTATTTCTCCCAGTGGTGCGACCTCGTGGCGAGGTCGAGCTAAATATAGGAAGTTAACGGGGGTACTGAGCTGCCAATTAAGTTGGAATCGAAACAAAGCGAGACCTTAATCTTTATTTTCTCATGCACACCAAGCCGATTGATTCAAGTAATTATATTATAACGTGTGTCGTGAACTTTCGATTTGATTAAATTAAGTACAATAAATTGTTTCGCGATGAAGATAACAAACAGTAGCAAACAGGCGTGTTTAACCCATTCCCAACCAGGGATCGTAAATTAATGGAGACGAAATCAATAAAAGCAAAATTTAAACTGAGCAGCGGTGATTAATTGCTGTGATTTCGCCAAGAAACGACTATCCAGTTTCTCATTCCTTTATTTATAAACTGAAAGACTGTCAAAAGTAGATCCTTTGAAATTTTTCGCTTGGGGCACCAAATTTTATCTTGACTGGTGCTTTTAGTAGAAGCGGAATTTTGAGTAGAATAGTTGCCGTTGCGGAAGCCTAATTATCTGAAAAGGAAGTTTATTTTGTCATTCATTGCCGAACTGATTGATTCTTCCTTGATTTGCAATGACCAATCAATGAGGGTGTTATGTAGCAGTGTTTATGGCATGGGCGTTAACTTAAAAAGGGACAACTCAGCAGAAAATCTTTGGCCTTTAAATGTCCAAATCTGGACTCCCACAGCTCTGTTCGTCAGCTCATCCAGTACTGAGGGTGCCAAGCAAGAAAGCGAAAGACGATCAGGATAGTTTAGTTTGTACCTTGCTGTATTTCTAAAATAACTTGATTATCGCAAGAAAGCGAAAGATTTATAGTGAAAATGCGGTCTAGGTTGCGAGTTTCATCTCCGGAACGAACGCTTAAAGGGTCGAAACAGCGGCTGCACTTTACGCCTTGGCTTAAGGAGCAGATCGAAAGTGGAGATATCTATGGCGTAGAGTGGATCGATAAAGACCTCGGGATCTTTAAAATTATTTGGGTGCGAGCTGATAATCCCGAATTCAAGCTCGAAACCCATGCAGAATTGTTCAAACGCTGGGCAAGCCACACAGGGAGATATCGCCCAGGCGACCAGCCAGATCCCTCGACGTGGAAGACGAGATTTCGCTGTGCTCTGCAAAAGATGTCGGATATCATGGAAATTAGACATTTGGAAGGAACTAAACCGTACAGAGTTTTTAAGTTTGAGCCAAAACAGAAAGGTAAGGAGTAAGTATTTATGACAAATACACCCGTGCAAATTAACTTGCCCTTGGCAGTTTTTCCGTGTTACCTTTCTATTTTCAATGTTCAGGTCATTTTGACTGCATAAATGAGCCCGTCTTTTGGTGAAGTTATACTGTTCGTACAAAAAATCTATTAGTAGATGTATTCATTGGCAAAGGCATGTCATCTTAAAGAGACAAGATCTTTATATAATAAGAAGACCGACCCGGTTGATACACCTTAGGCTTTGTTAAATCGGCATCGATTAAAATAACTTTTCCATTTATTACTTGCCATTACAAAGTCAGGTATCTTTTAGCTTGATCTCAGTTCTCGATCCGCTGTGTCTTAAAGCTACTGGTAACAGTCGGGTTTAATGGAAGCAACAAGTGACCGAAGAATGCTCTTCAAGTTTATTGTAAAATTTGTTATGTTGTGCCAAATACCACAGCAGGTCGGAGGCTAAGCGGCCTTTGAATTAAAGAAGTTAAAACTGAAAAAGTGTCTTTTTAAGACACTTTTTTCGCTTAAAGATTTAAAAATCTTTATGCGGAAATTGCATTTAAGTAAATATTTCAAATTGAAGAGGAACAAAAACTGCTCCTTTATTTAAACTAACAACTTCCCCTGTTATCGATGTTTCTTATTTAGAAGAAACATCAAATTTCTTTTAGTAGTACTAATAACTGGAATGTAATTAATTGAATCTAAACACGCTAATGGCCCAAAACATTTTTTCTTTATATTTTCCCTCTGTCATCTAACCATGACGAAGAGAGGGGTACCTGCATGCAGTCTGTCTTTTTTCCTTCTCTTTCTTAGTTCCTTTTTATCCAGCCCGAAAATAGCAGTTGCTTTGAACTGTTGTGCGGTATAGCGAAGATACAGGACAGACGGCAAATTGTTGTTGCTCTAAATATCATTCTATAAGTAGCAACTGTCCAACAGTAGGATACCTAAGATGCGTGCAATCCATTGGTTTCGCCTCCATAACTAATCCTAAACAAGAGATAATAACCAACTGTAAAACATTTTAAGAGAAGCCCGCCACCCATAATGTTAGCACAATATCTCGCAGCCCTTTTTGCATCCTATGTCGACGATTCGTCTGACATCACGAATTTGAGAGAATAGAAACAGTTCTTTATGTACTTCATTATAAAAGTATGTTTTGAACAGTACGGATGATTTAGAAGCAAAAATCCCAAAAATTATCGTTTGAAAATAAAAACACGAGCAGCGATGATAGCTAGACAAGGGGATATTAAGTATTTAAAATAACATCGGTACGTGGGGGACAAAAGACCGGACATCATAATCACTAGATATACGGTGAGGGATCTAATTGTCGTGGCATGTCTGGGATGGCTTGTTTCTTAACCATTGCCAAAGACTGCTAGGTTGCTTTGGTTGATGTTTGCCTTTTGCCGGTTTCGGAGCAGTTAGTTAAGTTAGTTATCAAGCTAAAAGAGAGTTTTAAAAACTCGTTTCGAGGCATCGAGTGAGAGCGTTATAGACAGGTGATGATACCAAAGGTTATTTCCCTCATTTGCTAATTTAAAAGCGTTAACAAAGTGTATTTAATTAACTATAATCCAATTTTCACCTCGTTCTGCACAACTGTGACATGTCATCGCCAAGCTCAAATCCCGATGATTTGCGTCTATGCCGCTTATCTTTAGACCACCTGCATGAGCAGTGGTATTTGCTGATAATAACTTTTAACGATGGGAATGGCTTAACTGAATTTATAGGTTGGGTTGTATGTCTTAAAAATGGTTAGATCGCATGGTGCTGTTGGTAGCATTGGAAAAACTCAAAAACGTTCCCAGGAAGTTGAAAGCATCTCATGTAATTCCGTAATTCATTGAATAGTTTCCTGTTGCTATTCATTCTTTTATCTGGAAACACGTGTTTACCACCCGACTATTTTGTTTTGAAATTGACTTAATAATTGACTGTGTTTTGTTTTGTTTGACTTCAAGGAACTGTTTATTTTCCAAAATTTACTGTCCGTTAAAGAAATTTTTGGGGAAGTTTTTTTCGATTGCTGCACGACGGTAAGATATCATGAACTTCTTGGCAGCAATAGAAGTAGTTTTTCGTCTGCGAACGTTTTTGGACCAGTATATATATCTCACTGACCCACTGATAAAACTCACTTNTTTAACGATGGGAATGGCTTAACTGAATTTATAGGTTGGGTTGTATGTCTTAAAAATGGTTAGATCGCATGGTGCTGTTGGTAGCATTGGAAAAACTCAAAAACGTTCCCAGGAAGTTGAAAGCATCTCATGTAATTCCGTAATTCATTGAATAGTTTCCTGTTGCTATTCATTCTTTTATCTGGAAACACGTGTTTACCACCCGACTATTTTGTTTTGAAATTGACTTAATAATTGACTGTGTTTTGTTTTGTTTGACTTCAAGGAACTGTTTATTTTCCAAAATTTACTGTCCGTTAAAGAAATTTTTGGGGAAGTTTTTTTCGATTGCTGCACGACGGTAAGATATCATGAACTTCTTGGCAGCAATAGAAGTAGTTTTTCGTCTGCGAACGTTTTTGGACCAGTATATATATCTCACTGACCCACTGATAAAACTCACTTCAGTATCAGGAACATGTTCTTTTTTTGTTCCAAAGGATAAAAGAATAAAATTGAGATAATTTTTGACATAGTTCGTGGTCGTCCAGAGAGAAAGCAATCAGACTAGTCACCAAAGTGAGATCGGCATCGTCTTTAATACAGTAATTCCCGTTCGGAATGATGCGGGAAAAGAAATGAAACTATAACGAGTTGACGGCCATTGTATGCTATACGAGCAAATTTATCCCAGTTTCAATCAGGAGCAAACTTCAGCTGACTCGTTACTCTACAAGTAGAAGCCCATTTGCTGTGACTTAGTTCTATCGAAGAAGATGAACACGTAGCCGGGATAACGTTAGACTATCTTCAGGACCTGAACAATACATTAACTTTTATTTTGATATTGACTGCCTCAATCTCTCGATCAGGATCTTGACTCAGATGGTGTTAAACGTTACAAGGATTTTTGATGGACTAAGCTCTTTGCGTCCGTCAGAGTCCAAAATCATTTAAGATGTTTTCAAAATTAATTAAGAGCTGTTCGAAAAATAGGAGGAAACTGATAAGAAGGTGATTTTGAGCCATTGCGACCTACGTCAACAGGAAGTGAGGCCTTGCCTTGATTTTAGGTCCCACATTTATATTTCTGTGTCTTTACTCTTATAACGGAGATTGGTCCGAATTGCTGGGAAGAGTTGAAGGTCGGTCCTCACAACGGAAGTAGGCCATATTCCCCCCCCCGGCGCCATCTGCATTAAGGAGGACGATGTGTTTTGGGTCAACATAGTGGTCAAGCTTCCAAATATAAATGCTTTCTGACACAACACCAGCAAAATGTAAGAATATTTTTATACTTCTTGTCTTTCCCAACTTAGTGCATTTCTTGAAGGTGAAATTTCACGTTCCTTTTTACATTAATCGAGATATTTGGACAGGGGACAAAGTTGAAGACTCTTCAACGAACATTTCCTTAACAAACCTGAAAGTGATTTGTTCGAGGAAAGTTTTTTTTCGCAATTTTTTTAGCCAAACAATTTAATTTGATGCTGATAAAACAAATTAACAAAGAGAAACAGAAAAAGTAACATGCACGGCAAATTTAAACTGTGTGTCAGTTGCATGAGATGCGGTTTCAAGATGAGCAGCGCTATATCGCGAATTTAACTTATCGAACACCTATATGGTAATTTAGGTGCTAGTTTTCAAACATATTGTATTATCATTTTCTTTCCAAAATAAATAGCGTCACATCAACTTTCGGTTTATCTTTGGGTGTTAATGCCTCAGATATTAATCGAATTTAATGCGTTGAATGATATCGATCCTCTGGTATCGAGTGGTCAACAACATCAGCTGAATTCGTTGCTTCCTTATCTCTCTGTGACAACAACTTGAACTTTGAAGTCATATTGATGTCATAATAATTAAATTAACTTGTTCTCAAGACGTGGTTTTGCACCGTCATTATTGTTTAACCATTGTTTACACATGCATTTTTTAACTTACGATTCTTTCACTTTTCAAAAGGAAATTCTTCAAGGCGTAGGAGAAGACCGTGTTTTACATCAGAGACAAACAGCTCCTTGGGTGAGACAGTTTCGGGATTACAACAACAGCTTGTTCCAAACCATTACTGGAGTTACGCGGGCGTGAGTGACTGGGATACGCAGAACACCGAGGTATAACTACATGTAGTAGACACGCCTCAGGCATGGCGTGCTATCTCCGTCCTTGCGTGAAACGTAATTGAGAAGTTGTAAGCTTGCGGTACCCGTTGGATCTACAATAGACAGGGAGGGAAAAAAACATGAAAGAGACGGAGAAGCTCGTTGGAAAAATAAGATTTATACCGGCCTAAAAGAGGCCAATCTGGGTGCGTTTTTTAACCCTAGGGAAGACCTAACTAAAATCCTCCCCCAGCTTATACGACGAGCCACCCCATCATTTTTATGTAAGCCTAACACAGGCACTACCACACACAAACACCGTTTCGTACACGACTTCAATTCTAATAACGCTATGATATAATTATGTTTCTTTTTTTCAGCCATGGTATATGGAGAACTGGGACATGTATTTTCCACAGAACGTTCAGAATGAGTTTGGATACTTTTAACGCCAAAGTTTTGCACTTAAGGATTAGCAAAGCTTTAATTCTGGTAAGGATAAGAATTTGAATTTTAAAAACTTTAAAGTAGTCGCGAGCATAAGGTGTCTATTCATATTTATTTGTACAAATTCACCCAGTTGACTTGTAACTAAGCCCTCATTTGCAGAATAAAAAATAGCGCACTCAACTATAGTAGGTTCGAAAGTATGTAAACACTGTCATGACCGTTTTTAACATTTTTATGCGAGAATACAAACAGCCAATAGCTGCAAGTATTTAAGTTAGGTCATGCGCGGCTTTTTGCCAACGGGCTGATCCGCGTCCTGATTGGTCACTTGGGTGTTAAAAAGCAGGATGGCACGTTTCTTACTGCGTCCACGCTTACCGTGTTGCGGAGTTCCATTGCTTTTTTGCCACGCGTTTTCGGGGAAAACTGTGAGTATGGATTCCTTTAACTGACTCATGATTACAATAATCTCCATAATGATTTCCGTTTTATAAACTTCCATGCCGGGGCCACACCTTACATCATGCTCTATCTATTTCGTGTTATGCTTCATTCGCAAATTTTAAGTTTGAGCTTATAACAAATGATTTGCAAATTTACTAAGTACTCCAGTGGCGTTTTAGCTCGGGCTGAGGTTAGCTCTCCCTAATCGGAGTCTTGCCAATAACTGGTTCTCTCCGAGATAAAATGCTTGAAAAACGCATTATCTAAATCACGCTGCATTCTCTTCGGTGCCTAACCTAAACTGTTGAACTAAACATTTTCAGAGGATGCACCAACGTATAAAGCTTCGTCTTCGCGACTGGCTCAAAGAGCTGATCGATGCGGGCTTGTATGGTTTAAAATGGGAAGGAGACCCGAGGAAGCGAACCCTTCGAACCCCTTGGAAAAACTGCTCTCGGCATGGCTTGTCTGTAAAAGATGATGCCGCTCTATTTAGAGCCTGGGCCACCTATACAGGAAAAAACAAAGAAGGAAGGGACCTCCCTGATCCTCGAAAGTGGAAGACAAATTTTAGATGTGCTTTGAATGCCTTACCAGATATTAAGGAGATTCGCGAAGAGAGTTGTCCCCGTGGAAAGGATGCTTACAAGATTTACAAAATGCGGCCAGTTCGAGGAAGAAGTAAGGGATTTGGAACCCAAAGATGCTACCGGAATGCGATAACTGTTAAGATTGTAATAGCTCACTGTTAGCGACGTAATGATATTATAGTTAGAGAAAGATGTTAGCGTTTTCCATTCTCTATCTCCATGTTTCTTTCGGCCTATACAAACAAAGCATGTCTTGTTTGCAAATAGTTGCCAACGAACTCAGAGCTAAAGCTAATAAAATAACGACCAGGGAAATTCCTAAAGAGTGGACCCAGAGTGGTATGGTGCGTATTTAGGGAAAGCATACTCTCTTAGCGGTTTCACGGACCAAAATCTGAGCTATATTGGCACTGACGGGTTTTAATATTACAAGATCACAGAGCAATTTGTTTCTTCAAGTCAACAATTTTGCAATAAGTCTGGCGCAATGATAAACGTATCGCTGCAAAGAAAGAACAAAACTTTACCTCACATAGACAGAGTCAATGTCGAATTAGACGAGGAGACAAATGAGACATTTATATTGTATAAATGCGATTTTAAGGAACAGCGGTCAACCATCAATATCAACTATCGATAGTGGTAAATTAATGAGAGAAAGTATTTGCCACACGCCATGAGATCAATATACAACAGATTTCAACTTGAATTCTTCGGTTCTCATTCACGGGATCGTTTGAGCCCAGGACATTTCAAGAGTCGCTTGAACTTCTCGTTCAATCAGTTGAAATGCTAAAAGACTACGAGGTTAGAAATGTAGATTTGATGAAGCGCAAAGCTCTTAAATGCCAGTACAATACATCTCTAGTTGGCGCAAACTTTTAAGACTGACTTCACATCAATCCAAATGTAAGATCAAAAGAATGTTTGTTTGTTGTAAACATTGCATTTCCATGACTTGTGGTGGTATGTACAATAACCTCTCATACAAATACACTGGTCGTTTTTTTTTAACCAAGACTCTGTGCTGCCGATAACTTCGTTAACAGTCATTTCTGAGTTACGTTCTACTGAAATGATTAAAAACAAATTCAAAAGAACCACTTTCTACTACAACTTGTCTTTTCCCTTATAATCTGACAGGAGAAAAACAAAAACGAATAGAAAGTTAAACTTTTGTGGCTCCATTAATCGCAGTCTTGCCTTATTTGAGAGTAGCAGAAATCCAGTTAGTTACTTTACTAAACGGATGCAGTATCAAATTCTACTGACAGCGGTTGTTTTTCAAACATGGCTGCCATATGGGACATTTCTGTAGTTTAAGTCGGTTTCAGCTTACTATCATTCGGTAGAGCAGGCGGGCGCAAAATCAGAAAAAAAAAAAGAATCACACCTCTATATTAAGTTGCTCTGATTCTATTTGAATTTGTTCATATCCCACTTGTCTCCTCGTCTCACCGGTTGTTTTACAGTTAGGTGGTCGGCTTTCGCGTTTCTGTTATATGAATTTAGAGCGTGACTCATTTACGTCCTTCGTAAATCAATATCATGCGTGCACGTACTTTCCGGTAGTTCTCTTTGTTATGCTGTACCAGGTATGTGCAGCACTAATAGATTTTAACTTGTAGATGGAACAATAAAATGTCACCATTCAAATTTGCACGTGTTTTTTAGTATTTTTATAACGTCTAAAAAACGGGTCTATGTTTTTGGTCGATGTGAAATCCTTACAACCATTTTTCCGTTCAAATTCATGTGAGTTGTACTCTCCCGTGTAGTACTGATGAAGTGATGGATGGCGTATAAAATTTTTCAATCTGTCGAAGAAATGAATCGATAGTAAACTCATACAGAAACTTACAAATAGCAGTTATTTCGGGATGTTTGAGTTTTGGTCAATTATTAGAACGAACGAAAATCAAAGAAAATTACTTAATTAATTTATGGGCATGACACAAAGGGGCACGCAGGACTGTCCAAGGCTTATCTCTCTTACAACAGAAAGGACGATTTGAACCAGACAGAAAATAACCTCAGTCACGTCAGTTTCATATTCTTTCCATAATACAAAATGTTTGAAACAAGAGTGGATGTTTCCATTTTTTGCACAAACGATGACCTTGAACCAGCAACCGTCTAAGAATTATCATCGAATTAATTCCCTCATGGAACGTGCCGCGCGGTCAGCATGTATTTCGCTTTCATAAAAATAAAAATCCATACCGGCACGCGCGTCATTCGATGAATAAGAATTGTCTAAATATCGTCTGAGGGGTCTTTTTTCTGCTTGAACACATTAACTAGAGGTACAATACACTTGTTTTCGGGTTGACCATTTCCCTTTCTCCACAAAAACGCAACCCCTCAAGGAAAGAACAGTCTGGATAAGATTGGTTATTAGGTATTTATGAAATGAAAACTTTTTTCTTTTCAAAAAAGGGTTGGGAACAAGAATGATTAGATGGTTGTTTAATGAATGGTCTTTGTGGTTGGAGATTCAACGTAGTTAATATAACATACTACAGTACACACCTGTGAGTAAGAACCAGCATTTTCCCAAGTTAGCCTAGACAGGTTCTTACGTGGTGCTGAATTAGTACAAATTTAGGCTATCTAGGTAAATAGGTTCTTCAGTTTTCTCTAAAAAAAATACAAGTACTAGAAGCAAATATTGATTTAGTGGTACTCAGCTTATTCTTTATATAAAATTTGCAAACCATAACACTGACATAGCAGTTGGAGTGATAAGGCGCGTATGTCTCCAAAAGAGGACCCTGGATATCTTATCTTATCTTATTTGCCTAAGTGTACAGAATTCTTAGTTATGGATTTTAGAAAATATGAACCTGTTTCAAATTTAAGCCTAAACAGGTTGCGTAGAGGTGGCCTAACTGGCAAATTTTAGCCTAACTTACTCGCGAGAATTACTGTATCATGGTGTCCAAGATAGTTCTATCTTTATATTCAGACTGTATATATTACACTAAAGTGTGACCATTCAAATAAAGGCTAACCCGGTTTTGTGCAGTACTTTTCTGTATATGTGATGCTGTTTATTACGCTGCACAGTTGCTGAATGTTTTGAGTCACTGTGAATGAAATTCTGAAGTGAGTTAAACCTTATACGAAAACATATTTTAAAAAAAATTATTGGAATCCCAAATCGAATAGCAAATGCTTTAGTATTTCAGAGAAATTTGTTCCACTTTCTAGTAGGGGGAGCTTACTTGCTCAATTGTGTATGAACACCAGTCTATGGAAGAGATTCAGATGATAAGATCACTCTCTTTAATAACCCATACGCTTTATAGTACTTGTAAATCCTTACAAGCCCTGAGGGCAATCAGACGAGTACTAAATGAAATTTCTCCGTCTTTGCTTGTAATATCTAAATGCACTATTTTCTTCTTCTTGGTCGCGAGGACGCATCCGGTTCTACACCCCTTGAATGAATTTGAACGGAGAGTAACGGTTACTTGTTTTCTTTGCAGGTCGTGTCTTCATTCCTCAGTCAGATGTCTATCTGGTCTATACAGAGGCCATATAATTTCTTGATATTTTACTCTGGTAAAAATTTGAGAGATAACAACTAGTTTCATGTGGACGATAATGCTTTTATAATAAAGGTCGATGTCACAACATTTAACCGTTCGGACGGCTGGATCACTTGAAAGGAGTTTTACCCTCTCACAGAGGACATACTCCGATTCTTACCTATTAAGATAAATTACTTTATACATGATGTAGTCACTAAAGCTGACATAATTAATGAAGTATTCTGACCAGAAAACGTTAGTTTTCCCACGTTGCTGACATGCAGAAGTCGTGTGTAGTGTATTCACATGACGTCACGGCGGCCATATCGGTGTTCCAAAACAATGAAACGGCGGCCATGTTGGTGTCCCAAACCAGTCCTGTGGGAGTTGAACTCTTTTCTTATGCAAACGCTTTCTTTTGTTCCATAAATTTGCATATATGCTGGCCACGTGAGTGAAAACACTTGATTTTTTCGTCTCTGGATATGAGCATGCTGTTTATAAAAAGAGATCCTATCGGCTTGCTGCAATGACCTTCTCTACAGAGAATCAGTCCTCGTTTGTCTTCTATTGATGAAAGTCCGTATACACATAACGATCCCATTGATCAGTTTAAGAGCATTTTGAACTAAGATATAAGGCTTAACAATGTACACAGCTGTATTGCTTCAGCCCATATTTTCTTTCGTTATAAATGAATGGATGAAAATAATAATAATAAAAACGCAATGAAATAATATAGTTGTACCCTGTTCCCCAATTCCTCCTCTACCTTTGTCTCCGGCATTATTTCCCTTTTTCCTGGTCCTTTTCTTTTAAAAAGCTAAACTGTCAGCAAGGTTTTCGCCCACATCACACAAAAATTATAATTCCCCAACTGCTCTTCCAACGGCGACAGTCTTTCTTTGATTGTAGAGTTTTCAAGCTTTCACCTTAAATCAAGTGCCGTACGGCTACTGGCAGGTAAAACCCCAAAATGCAGAAATAAATTTAGGCGTAAGCTAATATATATGAAACTTTATGGGCTGTGCCCCTGCGGGTCGCTGCCTGGCCCTTTTCTTCCATCCCATAGCGCGCCATCAGTGTCGTGGGGGTACCCCAGGTCCTTTGTCTGTCTATTCACTTAGCTTTTAGTAGTCAGTTGTAGTAGTCAATGTCTCTTAGGTCTTTTAACTTGTCCGATTGTGGCGCGTAGCCGTTTGTCCTGTCATATACTTTTGCAAGGGGTCAGGGCGGGGCTCATTGCCCCGGCGACTTTTGGCGTGCTTATGTATCAAACGTATCAGAAACGTAACCAGTTTGCGCCGCGAAAGAGTGAAATTTGCGCTACAAAAACGAGTGCGCAAATACGGTACAACTAACTAGCACTTTCCTTCTGGTATTGTGTTTATTAAAATCATACTGAGACATTCACAATTTTATTAGCCTTTTATTTTAGATATTTCCAAAGGGCTAAAATCGTGAAATGACATGAATGAAAAAGACGTCGCCGTTCAAAAGCTATTAGTAAAAATTATAATGAGGATAAGGATGTGAGGTAAAAAAGGAATCACATAAAGTATTCTTAACTATATGTTCAGAAGTAGGTTAAGTATGATCGCAATTACTTTTTTAGTAAACTATTGAAATAGTGCAATAAATGAAAAATCTGAAATCGGGTTAACATGCATAGTCCTGAATATAGAACTGTTGTTGTAGACAGTGACTGGTGTTTCGACAACCTGTGCAGTAGTCATCTTAAGAGTCAAAGTGAGTTGTATCGCGTCAGTTGATGGTATTAAACTCTGGTTATTGACCTGATTAATTGGTCAATTACGTCGCCATGTTATTAGTCGTCTGTCCGTAAAACTGTGATGTTATTGGCTATGAAGACTCGTAATGTCATTGGTACGTTTCGATCCGTCTATTGTTACAGTTAAATAGTCATTTGTTCGTCAGATTGTCAGTTGTCCAGTCGTTCTCTTGTAGTTAGTTTTGCTTGATTCCGTCAATAAGTCCTTTGTACGGTGCGGGTAACTGTTGGCTACGATTTAGTGGTAATAAATTAGTAAACTTGCTTTCTAGAGTGAGTCGTTGATAGAAAATTTTCATCAGTACTAGCGGAAAAAGAATAATCTTAATAAAAGACAAACTATTAGCTTCATAAAGGTACAACTCGAGCTTACTTGTTTTTTTTCCCCTTTCTGCTGTTGTTTTGCAAGCTCTCCATACAATTTTCTCCGGTGACAAGGAAATATACCACTCTATTCTATTTCAATTTCCGAACTGTTGCTCACTTTTCAGGACTCACAAATTTCCTCGATGAAAGACTTCGCAAGCTCATACAAAAGGCGTGTAATTTGGCTCGGAATTCTTGCACCACTGGGGATTTTAATTAGGTTAGGAGGATTATTCAGACTAAGCTTTCATTTTCTTCTTCCTTGTTTGAACAAAAGCGGAGGAAATTGAAAGATATCCTAGACTGCATCGCAGCTGGTACATGATCTACGTCTATTTTGAACAGGACTGCACCAATTAATTGCAATACAGATGTCATAGAAAAATGAACGAAATCAGTGAATTGTAGAAAACTGGCACGCTCTTGAAATTCAAGGATCTTAAGTTCAACAAAAGGATGAAACTGAAAACATCTTCAGGAGATATGTCCAATTTAACTTCTCTCAACTCAATTCGAGTCAATCTTACGTATTATACCTACCGCAAAAGCATTCTCACGATAATATTGTTTTTGCTTTTTTGTTCGATATCGTCATTACAATTTTCTCTTTCTGAGCAATTAAGTGCAACGGTAGTGACGTAAACGTGTAGCCTAACTAAGTAGTTATGGTCATTATAAATCTTTTTGGTATGCAAGCCAATTTCATTCCTATTTCTATTATGGGAAAATGTGCTTTTTGCACCTTAATCGCTTTGGAAAGTCACTAATCTGCAAGCCTACGATTCTAGAAGCAGCCTCAGCTGTAGCCTGCGGGTGAATTTAGCTATAGTCTCTATAGGACACGGGGGGTGTAAAAACTTTATCACGCGTTCTTTAGTTTTGTTCAGTTCTTGTTTCTTTTATGGTAGTTATTAATAGACATTCTGCATAATAAACTTCGGAAATAAGGTACGTGCTAAAAAAACTGCAATAATTTCAACCCTACAAGAGCCAATGGAGTCCTTGCCCGAATAAGATGAAATCTCTCTCTCTCTCTCCGAGGTGTGTATACATTCTCTTGAAGGCGCACATGCAATAGTCAGCCACCCCTCCCCCGTCCCCCCGCTCCCACTGGAGAGAGTTTGCCTTTGCCTTGTGTTTTTACTTTGGTTAACACGCTATTTGCTATCTTTTAAAAAAGCAAAAAACGAGTCTTCATCAATTGAATTCTTTAGCACATACTGATCTTAAACTGACAGCAATATCCTCGTCACATAGTCCTTTTGATAGAATCGCTCTCCGTAGGCCTTCATTCTGAGGCTCAATAGGAAGAAAAAAGGCTTATTTACCAACATTTAATAAAGCCGACGTGCAAGCGATCGGCTACAGATCGGATTTACAAACCCGAATAATTAAAGAAGGAAGAAGATTTCAATAAAGTGCTCTTTGTCATATGAATGCATAATGCTTTCGTATTGCTAAATTCAAAGCGAAGTTTTTATGGCCCGACACTTTTAACCTTCATACGATAAAATCGATGTGGGAAGTGAAGCCAGACCAAAATCGGTCGATTGATTGATCCATACGATTAAATCTCACAACGTGTTTGAATTCGTGATTTGACTTTCAATAAACATATTTAATTCTTGGGGATGACGATGACAGATAAATTAAGAAAACACAACATTGGCGTGTGCTTTAACCCATTCATTAGTTAACTGAACATGGACTGGGATGGCAAATTAATAGAGAAGAAATCAATATGATAAAACCATTGGCGAGAATGCTGTGATCTCGCCAATACATGACTGACTTATCACTGTCCCTCATTAGTTATCTTATACCGAAGTTTATTTTGTGTTTCTTCGTATGTATGAAATTAGTTCCTCACACTGAATTACCGACCTCGATTTGCAGCGACCAATCACATGTTAGGGGCTTATTATAGTGGTGTTTATGACGTACATGGGCGTTAACTTTAAAAGGGCAACCCGCAGTGAAAGTTCCAAGCAAGAAAGCGAAAGGCGATTAGAAGAGTAAAGTTTGAACTGAGTGGTATTTCAGAAATAACTCGACAATCGCACGAAACTGCAAGATTGATAGGAAAATGGTATCCAGGGGGTTGAAAGTTTCATCCTTAAAAAACGAACAACCCTTAGTTTCATCCTTAAACCTCAACCCTCAACCCTTCGTTCGTAGAAAGGCGAAACAGCAGCAGTGGTTTACGCCTTGGCTGGAGCAGCAGATCGAAAGTGGAGATATCGATGGCTTAGAGTGGATCGATAAAGAAATAGGGATCTTCAAGGTTCCTTGGGTGCGGGCTGATAATCCCGAATTCGAACTTGAAACCCATGCAGAATTGTTCAAACGATGGGCAAGCCACACAGGGAAGTATCGCCCCGGAGACCAACCAGACCCATCCACCTGGAAGGTGAGATTTCGTTGTGCTCTTCGAAAGACGCAAGAGATCGTTGAAATAAAGCATTTGGGAAATCTAGAAGGAACTAGAGCGTACAGGGTTTTCAAGTTTGAGCCGAAACTGAAAGGTAAAGACAGAAATTTATGCCAAATTTGCGTGCAAAATGGTTTAAGCCAAGAGCGAAAAATGGTCTGTGATAAACACAGAGAATAAGGCGTGATGATATGTTTGCCATTTTCGGTCAAATGTGGCGGTTAGGAGGTCGAAGCGGTATTAGAAGTTGGGATTAAAATAGAATAAAAAATGTGGCCTTTTTTGATGCGGAAATTAAGATTGTCAAACACTCAAGTAAATATTTAAACACAAGAGGAACAAAAAGTCTTCCTTTATTGTTTAAAACTTCCTCTCAGTTATTGATCTTAGTTCCTTATTCGAATCCATGGCGTCGATTTTCT